TGCCCAACCTTCCTTCCGAGGAGTGGCTGGTGGGTTTGAACCGCCAGCCGTCTGGTTAGCAGGCAAGTGTCTTAGCCACTATGCTACCAGAGCTCCTTAGCCTCTAGGAGGGCTCATTTTATCTTTTTTTAAAATTTTTATTGTGATTTGGGTGAAAATTTACAGAGCAAATTCACTTTCCATACAGCAGCTCACATACACTTTGCCTCATGAAGTTGGCTGCAGTCCCACTGATGCAACAGCTCTACTCCCACTTCCTCCCTATAGTTACCTCTTCCCTGTGTGCTTCCTTCCCATGCACTCCAGCCCCCCCTCCCCCCCAGCTATCTCCCTGTGCGTACACAGCTCCTTTATTCTCTAGGGCTCATTTTAAGCCTGGCAGAGTGACAAAACTAACCAATTCCAACATCAGAGTTCTACACACCTTATTTCCGTGGTCCCACCCAGTAATCCAGTGAGAATTACAAAGACTATGGCTAGAAAAGCCATACCAAGTCATTCAATGCACCACAATATTTCTCAGAAATGAAAAGCCAAGGGTTGTGTGTAGAGAAGTAGCAATTCTCTGATTCAAGGGTGCCCAGGAAGTCTACCACCTCCCTCCTAACCTCTGCTCCAGCCGTATTTACCTGTTAGAGTTCCACAACCACTCCAAGGCTCTTCTAAGCCTCCTGACTTTTGCTCAAGCTGTTCCTTCTGCCTGGAATGCCCCTCGCTTTTTTGTTTCTTTGACAAATTCCTCATCCTTCAAGGCTCAGTTTAAACAGCCTCTTTGGACTGTGTCATTGAATCAGAATTCGGCAGATGGAGGCACGCTTAAGGAGCTCTGGTGGCAGAGTGGTTAAAATGCTTGGCTACTAACTGAAAGGACAGAGGTTCAAACCCACCAGCTACTCTGCAGGAGAAAGATGCAGTCTGCATCTGTATAGATTTACGACCTTGAAAATTCCGTAAGTCAGTTCTACTCTGCCCTACATGATCGCCATGAGTTGGAATTGACTCAGTGGCAATGGGTTTGTTTTCTTGGTTGGGCAGATTTAGTAGCTACTGGGTGCTACAAATGGTTAACATGCTCAGCTGCTAATGAAAAGGTTAGAGGTTGAGTCCAACCAGAAATGCCTTGAAAGAAAGTCCTGGCCGTCTACTCCTGAAAAATCAGCCATTGAAAACCCAGGGGAGCACGGCTCTAGTCTAACACTCAGGGAGTCACCATGAGTTGGAGTCAACTTGATGGCAACTGGTTTGGGGCAGGTTTAAATGATAGATAGAGAAACTGAGGCTCGATGTAGTTTTTGGGCAAGGAAGAAGTGTACATAAAGAGTTTCTGATAAGGGTGATGGAAAAATTCAGGAAACAGCAAATACTCCATTACCTATGTAAACACATTGCCATCAAGTTGATTCCAACTCATTGGTACTCTAAAGGACCATGGAAGCAGCAGTCAAGAAATCAAACTAAGTATTGCATTGGGTGAATTTGCTGCAAGAGACCTCTTTGAAGTGTTAAAAAGCAAAGATGTCACTTTTACTCAAGCCATAATATTTTTAATAGCCTTGTATGTATGTGAAAGGAACTCTGGTGGCATAGTGCTTAAGGCATTTGACTGCTAACCAGAAGGGTGGCGGTTCAAACCCACCAGCCACTCCTCAGAAGGAAGATTGGACAATCTACTTCCGTAGAGAGACCGCCTCGGAAACCCAAGGAAGGGTTGATATGAGTCAGATTCGACTCAATGGCAGTGAGCTTGTTATGTCTGTATGAAAGGTGGACAATGGATAAGGATGACTGAAGAAGAACTGGTGACTTTGAATGGTGCTGTTGAAGAATATTGACTACACCACAGACTACCAGAAGAATGAACAAATATGTCTTGGAAGAAGTACAGCCAGATGCTTCTTAAGAGGGAGGATGGCAAGATACTGTCTCATGTAACTTGGGCATGTTATCAGGGACCAGTCCTAACCAGAAGGCTGGCAATTCGAATCCACTACACTAGCCACTCCTCGGAAGGAAGGTTGGGCAATCTACTTCCGTAGTGATACTGCCTCGGCAACCCAAGAGGGGTCGCTATGAGTCGGGTCCAACTCCAGGGCACATAACAACAGTCCTTGGAAAAAGACATCATGCTTGGTAAAGTAGAGGGTAAGCGGAAAAGAGGAAGACTTCAACTAGATGGACTGACACAGCGGCAGCAACGGTGGGCTGAAACACAGCAACGACTGTGAGGATGGCACTGGATTGGGCGGTGCTTACTTCTTTTGACTGTTAAGATCGATGTAAATTAGAACCCACTCAATGCACCTAACAAAAACAACAGAACTATCCCGTAGGGTTTCCAAGGTTGTAAACCTTGGGAAACAGACTGCCAGGTCTTTCTCCTGTGGTATAGCTGGTGGGTTCCAATCTCAAATCTTTCAGTTAGCAACTGGACGCTTAACTATTGTGCCACCAACACAATTAAAAAAAAAAAATTACTTTAGAGGTGGTTTGAAAAAATTCTGCCTTAGTATTTTTGGCTTATGTAAAGATATGCAAATAAGGAGTAAGTTTGGGGGCCAGGATCCACCCACTTCTGTCTAGAAAACCCATCCTCTCTGAAGTACATGGCAGCTCCCACAGTCACCTCCTAAGCCCCACCTCTTCACCCTAAATCCCGCCCACTCAGCCTAAAGCATTGCAATCTCCTCCATCTTCCTCTGCGCCTATTACATTGAAAGCCCCACCCACCCTGCGCTTCCCAGCCTATTACCGTAGAAGAATTAACCAGTTTAATCTGGTTCGTTCAAAAATAGTAGACATTCAGTCTAATCTTCATTTAGCCACTCAAGTTTTAGATCGCGCGCCCAGTGTAGCCTATCACAATCCAGATACCGCCCCCCTCGGCCCCACCCCAGCCTATCACATTCTAAATTCCATCCTCTAGCCACAGTCCCAGCCTATCAGCTTCCAAGTCCTCTCCAGCTTTGTCGGACTCGTCTCTCCGCTTGTCCAGGTGCTCAGTGAACTACATTTCCCAGGAGGACTTGCGGCGGGGGGCAGATCACTTCCTGTCTGGAAGATGGCGGCTTTCTGGGGTCTCGTCGGCTGAGTTGAAGGGAGGTTCAGGCTTCGGTGAGCAGAAGTTGGGCGATGAAAGCGTAGGGGTCCCATCCCCAGAGATCCAGCTTCCTTAGCTCTGACCTCAGATAGCCAGCTCCTCCTCTGCTCTGAGTTTGCCGCCTTCAGCTGTTTTTTTCGAGCAGTCTAGCCCCCATCCTTTTTTCTGCAACTAAAGCTTTATTTTCCTTAGAGGTTGTGGGAGCTGCAAGGCGATTAGAGACCATCCTGAGCAGCTTGCGTCTATTGCCCAGATGGGCAAACTGTCCCACCGGCATCCATCTCCCCGCAAGTAATCTGTAACACTTAGATCTGTGCCTCTTCCCTCGCCAGGCATCCCAGCGCCCTCAGGGGAGAATCCTAGAGGTTATTATATCATTATTCGTGAAGATATTTTCCGTTTCAGGTAACCGAAAACCCAACTCTGTCTGGCTTAAGCAAGAAAGGAAAGTTACTGGATTATAGAACTGGTAAGCATCAGGCATAGCTGGATCCAGGTTCTCAGGAATCTGTTTCTGTTCTTTTCTGGGTAGGCATGCCAGACCTACACACCCAACCGGGGCCCCTCTTGTCTAATAGTACCATTGGAAATCCTAAAGCTGCCCCTTACTGGCTTGTGTGGGGTCATGTGGCCATCACTAAGCCAATCACAGTGGCCAAGGAGCTGTGCTCCTTGGCCAAGTGGGGAGGGGCATGAGGATGACAAGGTTAACCATGCAGAAAAAGAAGTGGGAGGTTATTGGCTTTATTATCTTAAGTCAGAATGGATACTGGGCTGATAGGTGCAAAAGCTATACATTTTATAGTTGAGAAGACTGAGGCCCTGCCTGAGAGCCCTGACAGAGTTCTGACTGAGAGCAGTGACTTTCACAGTCAGTAAGCAGTTCAGACGTTGTCCTCACTCCAGAATCATCTGCCTGGACCAGTTAGAAATGTCACTGCCATTATTAACCAAATATTCTTTAAACCTCTAAGGGGAGGATCCTGGCGTCCCACATCCCTGCTGTTTCTGGCCACTCGGGAACTATGGAAGTTGCAGAACCCAGCAGCCCTACTGAAGAGGAGGAGGAGGAAGAAGAAGAGGAAGAACAGTCGGCCGAGCCTCGGCCCCGCACTCGCTCCAACCCTGAGGGGGCCGAGGACCGGGCACTGGGGGCCCAGGCCAGCGTGGGCAGCCGCAGCGAGGGTGAGGGTGAGGCAGCTAGTGCTGACAATGGGACCTCTAACCCTCCAGGTGCCGGTCCAAAGCCCTGGCAGGTGCCCCTGCCAGCCCCTGAGGTCCAGGTGCGGATGCCGAGGGTCAACTGTCCAGAGAAGGTGGTAAGTGTGAGGCTCAGCCTTGGTCTTCAAGGGTTTGGCATGCCTTGTTTTAAATATTCCTTCCTTTCACAGTTCACTCTGCTAATATTTCCCTTGTTTCCCTGTTTCTGTGTCGAATGTTCATTGATTCTTTCATCAACCTGGACTCCCAGTCCAGTTCTCTTTCCTCTGAGCCACTGACTTCTAAAATGAGCAGCTTGATTGGGATGGGGAGGTCACTATGTTGCCTTGTCAGAATACCTCTTTAAAGTGGTGAAAAAGCAAAGGATGTCCCTTTAATGACCACAGTGTGAAAAACTGGACAGTGATAAAGCAGGACAGAGAATTAACGTATTTGAATCATGGTGTTGGTGAAGAATATGGAATATACTGTCAACTGCCAGAAGAATGAACTCATCGGTCTTAGAAGAAATGAAATTAGGATGTTCCTTAGAATTGAGGATGGTGAGAGTTTGGACACGTCAGAAGAAAAGACCAATCACTAGAAAGGCCATCATGGTTGGTAAAGAAGAGGGTCAGATAAAATGAGGGAGGCCCTCCGTGGATGGACTGACACTATATCCACAGCAATGGACTCATACCAACGATCGTGAAGACAGCGCAGGACCAGACAGCATTTAGTTTTGTTACTTACAGGGTCACCGTGAGTTGGAGCTGACTCAATGGCAGCTAACAAAAACAGTGCCTTGTCAGAGGGGCCGCTTAGGGAGGGAAGGCTTGGCCAGAGGGGCTGTGTAGGGGCTGGTGTTCATACCCAGTCACTGCTGGACCTAGGGCTCCTCATCACCCCCCAATGTTCTCTGCAGATCATCTGCCTAGACCTGTCAGAAGAGATGTCACTGCCAAAGCTGGAGTCATTCAATGGGTGAGACGGACAGCTTGGGGCTCGAACACATAGTTGCAGCTGGGGAGGGGCCCTCTTGAAGACACTGCTAGTACTAGCTGACCCCCGGAGCAGCTGGAGGCTCACCAATAGGGAAATCTGAGACAGGGAGAAGCTTGCCCTGGCTTAGAGCCTGCCCTGCCCTCTGTGGGCCCTGTTTGGCTGAGCTGTGATGATTGTGTGATGATTGACAGGTGGTGAACCTAATGAGGCAGCTTATCTCCCCAGTTCCTGAATGTACCCTAAACCCACTCTGAAGAATCAACTTCTAGAAAATTTAAATGATCATCTTCTCCCCCCTCCATCTTAGTGTCCTAGTGATGCTGTAATAGAAATACCACAAGTGGGTGACTATAAAGAGCAGAAATTTATTTTCTCACAGTCAAGGAAGCTAGAAGTCTGAATTCAGAGTATCAGCTCCATGGAAAGGGTCCTTCAGTTGGCTCTAGGGGAAGAACTCTTGTCTCAGCTTCTCTAACTTTCTTCTGGAGTCCCTGGGTAATGCAAATCGTTAAGCACTTGACTGCTAACCAAAAGGTTGGTGGTTCGAACCCACCCATAAGTGCCTCAGAAGAAAGGCCTGGCAATCCAGTCCTCTTTCCCCTGAGCCACTGACTTCTAAAATGAGCTTCTCGGAAGGAAGACTGGGCATTCTACTTCTGTAGTGGTATCGCCTTGGAAACCCAAGGAGGGCTCGCTATGTCGCAGTCAACTCAACAGCAGTGAGGAGCTTTTATTTAGGCTGCATACATGGTGTGGCCATGCTCTGGCTCTCATGCCATCGAGTTGATTCTGACTCATAGCAATCCTAGAGGACAGAACAGAACTGCCCCCATAGGGTTTCCAAGGCTGTAAATCTTTACAGAAGCAGATTTCCCTGTCTTTCTCCCATGGAGTGGCTGGTGGGCTCAAACCGCTGACTTTTTGGTTAGCAGCCCAGTGCTTTAACCACAGCCCCACCAGAGGTCCTTCAGCGTTGCCGTAAGTCAGAGTCAACTCAGTGGAGGATCTCCACATGGCATCTGTCTTCCCCCATCTGCTTTTGTGCCTAATCTGCTCATACCTCAAAAGTGATTGGTTTAAGTCACACCCTATGCTGATACAGACTCAGTAACATAACAAAGAAAACCCTGTTCCCAATGAGGGTCACATCTACAGGTGTAAGAGTTAGGATTTATGATACCTAATTTGGGGGACACAGTTCAATCCATAACAGGCTCTGAGAAGCAGAGATCTCAGCAGACCAAGCCTGGCTTACTTTGAAGTCCCTGCCCTGAGCCATCTGGGTCTTGGTAGGCTCTGGTGGCAGGCACTTCTCTCCCCTCACTGGTTCCTGCCTGCAACTGTCCTGACCAAGTTGGGCTCAAGAGGGGTAGACTTGAGACCTAGGCTGGCCAAGGGGCTCCACTTGGAGAGGGTGGGAACTCAGATGTAACCCAGACCTGGTGTTAATCCTGTGCCTCTGGATACCATCTTGGGGCTGGTGGAGTGTCCCCCAGCAGGGTGGGCAAGGAGTCCCAGGGTCCCCTAGTCCAGAAGCCCTGCCTCAATGGCCCCCATCCCCTGCCTCCCCCACAGCTCTAAAACCAATGCCCTCAATGTCTCCCAGAAGATGATTGAGATGTTCGTTCGAACCAAACACAAGATCTGCAAGAGCCACGAGTTTGCCCTGGTGGTGGTGAACGATGACACAGCCTGGGTGAGGTGGAGTGGGGGCTCTGGGTGGGCCCTGGTGGTGAGACCTGGCCCCTCCCACTGAGCCCTCTGCATCCTGCAGCTGTCAGGCCTGACCTCTGACCCCCGTGAACTGTGCAGCTGCCTCTACGACCTGGAGACGGCTTCGTGCTCCACCTTCAGTATCCTTCCTGGGAGTTTGCTGCACGCGCGTGTGTGTCCCTTCTTATCACCTGAGGCAGGCAGGGGGCTGGTTCAGGCTCACTTAGGTTCAGATCCCAGCTCTGAAATTCAGTTTCTCCATCTTTAAAACAGGACTGTGGGATAAGCCATTTGCCCATGGCTGTTATCCCTAAGGTTGGCAGTTTGAACCTATCCAGTGGTGTCACGGAAGAATGGCCTGGTAAAATACTTCCATAAAGATGACAGCCAAGAGAGCCCAATGGAGCAGTTCTGCTCTGTAACACATGGGGTCACCAGGAGTCAGGGTAGACTCGATGGCATCTGGTTACTATTGCACAAATGTCCCTGGGTGGCATGACTGGATTGCACTTGTCTACTAACCTAAAGGTTGGCAGTTCAAACCCACCCAGCGGCACTGGAGAAGACTGGCCTGGCAGTTGGCCTCCACGAAGATTATAGCCAAGAAAACTATGGAGCACAGTTGTATTCTGTAATGCAGCCTTGCCACATGTTAGGTGCTGACTGGACAGCAGCTGATAATGTTGTGTTATGTACCATAGAGTCGCCCCAACTCATAGCGACCCCTCGGGTTTCCGAGGCAATATCACTACAGAAGTAGATTGCCCAACCTTCCTTCCGAGGAGTGGCTGGTGGGTTTGAACTGCCAGCCTTTTGGTTAGCAGTCAAGGGCCTTAGCCACTATGCTACCAGAGCTCCTGCAACTGATAACAGCAACAACCAAATGGGGCACCAAACCACCTCACCAGTAGAGTTCCTGCGACAGTAAAGCTATAGTACAAACAGCAAACAGCTTGTCCCCAACACCAAGCACCACTGGAAGCCCTTTGCAAATTCTGATTTACGATGTCCAAAATGTACCTTGCATGGAGAATACTTCATGCAGGGCCAGGTATACAGTAAGTGCTCACTGAATGACAGCACATAACTGAAACGTTGTAGTCACCCCTATGACCCCTTCAACCTGGGCACAGCACATTTTGTGCCAAGTTGAACATTAACAAAAACTAGTTGCCATCAAGTTGACTCTGACTCATGGTGATCCCAAGTGTGTCAGAGAAGGACTGTGCTCCGTAGGGAGCATGGTGGCTAGTTTCTCAGAAGCAGGTCTCTAGGGCTTGGTTTCGAAGTGCTTCTGGGTGGACTCGAGTCTCCAGCTTCTTGGTTAGCAGCTGAGTTCATTCACCATTTTGCACTATCCAGGCCCTGGCTGAACATTAAAGTCTTGTATTTAATCCCAAACTTAATTTGTGTATGATCCCTGGTCCCTGCAAGTTCAAAGAGTAAAAAGTTGGGAGTAAAGGGGGTAGACTGTGGGGGTGGAGAGGGTTGGGGCTTTGGGGTCTTATGTGAGGACAGCATCCTCCAAGAAGGAAAGGGAGTTTTGAATCCCCAAGAATCTTCAGGGTATCCAGTGCTCGTCCCCTACCTTCTGATCCATGCTGAGAGGAGACCAGGGCTCAGAGAGGGCAAGCCATTTGGCCATGGTCACACAGCATGTTTCTAGCAGAGCTGTGCCTGGTAGTGAGCTCTCCTGGCATCATTATCAGGGGACCTGTCCACCCTTATCCATGCACACAGCTGCCTGCCTTCTCCTTAACATCCTCACCAGATCTTGAAGGCCTCTTCAGTCTCATGTAAGTCCCTGTGGAGAAATTATGGTTTACCTTTAGAAGGAAGGATCCCCTGTGGACTCCAAATAGCACAGATATAATCAGGGAAAGCCCAAAGCCTCCCCATTCCCAGCCTCCCCCACTGGGATAATCGATCACTTGTCTACAAGTGTTTTTAACAAAAGAGGCCCTTTTCTGCGTCTCATATTAGTTCTGTGACTGCCCCATGTTCTCCAACCCCATTTTTTAAAAAGTGGGGTTGGCAGACTTTTTCCATATGAGACCAGAGAGTAAATAATTCAGGCTTTGCAGATGTTAGGGTCTCTGTTGGAACTACTCGATTCTGCCATTGTATCGCTAAAGCAGCCATAGGTTATAATGGATGGACATAAGTGTGTGTCAGTAAGGTTTTATTGACACATATACACACATACATATGGACATTTGAATTTCAGAGACTTCACTTGTCATGAAATATTCTTTTTATTTTTCAACGCTTTAAAAGTGTAAGAACCACTTTTTGTTTGCCAGCACCTGTTTTAACCAACTCTTGTTTCACCTTTCTCATCATTATTAACCTGGTAGGTACAGCCATCTCGCCCAGTTTTGTAAATGAGTACCTGGGGTGAATTCCCATTGGAGGACATGCTGGATCAAAGAGCTGTATGCTTCTGATTTTGCTAAAGAATTTTTTTCAAGAAATTAACTTAATCCCAAGTATCGATGTTTGAGGTTGTGTCCCACAGTCTTCCCAACACTGGAGTTGATTCTGCTGCTAAAAATTCCACCCACTTGATAGGTGGGGAAGGGCAGCCTCTTGCTTTGCTGTGCTTTTCCTTGAGGCTCTTTGTTCATTTTTTCAAAAAAAAATTGTGATAAAAATATGTATAATAGTATTTGTCAGTTCAACATTTTTCTTTGTGTTCATTTGTAAGCCATTGAATATTCCTCCAGCAATTTGTCTGTTTGTGGCCGTTGCCTATTTTTCTGTGGGGATGTTGGCTTTTTTCTTGTTGATGACAAGGTTTGCATTTTACATATTAAGGACCCTCCATTTGCCTAATGCACTTTGCCCAATCATTATCCTGTTCTGGAGGCTAGAGTGGGGTCCACCTGAGACACTAACTTAGCACAGAAGATCTGATTCCTGTATCAGGGGCTCCCAGCCTGGTGGAGGAGTCATGTGTCACTAGGCAGTTCCAGCTCCAGTGTCATGGAGGATACTGGAGGCTCTGAGGGTGGACAGTAGGCTCCAATCCCAGGGGTCTGTGAAGGTTCACTAGGGGAGCAGACTAAGTAGGGGAGGTGCTCCAGGCAGTAGGAATAATGGGCTGGAAAGGCTCAGAGGCTGCAGTGAACTCAGGAGGGGCTTTGCACACCTGGTGAGGAGCCAGGCAGACCTGCAGAATGTGCTTTGATCTGCCCCTGCACCCTGACTGCAGCCAACAGAAGACAGAACTGCCAGTCACAGAGAATGTGCAGATAATTCCGCCCCCATACGTGGTCCGCACTATCCTCGTCTACAGTCGTCCACCCTGCCAACCCCAGTTCACCCTGACGGAGCCCATGAAGGTAGGTGAGGCCAAGGAGAGGGAGGGACACCTGCAGCCAGTGGGATGGTGGTTAGACACCAGGAGGGACTTCCCGGTGGCAGCAGGTGGAGCACATGGGGGTGGGTTTCATAACCTGAGGGAGAATTTGGAATTGTGGCTGTGGGGGCAGGGATGACTTGAGCCTCCAAGGCTGGTGTTCCTTCCCTGCAGAAAATGTTCCAGTGCCCATATTTCTTCTTCGATGTTGTTTATATCCACAATGGCACTGACGAGAAGGAGGAGGAGATGAGCTGGAAGGTGAGAGGCTATGGCGGGTATGGGTGCTGCCTGGAGCCTCGGGGTTGGTGGGGTCCATGGAGGACTCCACCTCCATCTGCCAGCTCGGCAGCGCCAGCTCAGTTGGAGCATGGTCATTCAGTCACTCAACAACCATTGCCTGTGTGTATACTGTGAGCCCATGGTGAGCAAATAAGGCAGGGACTACATGCTGGGGAGGCTGGGGTCATTGGGACGTTGGCCCAGGGAGCATGTCTGGGTCCTGCCTGCCTCCCCTGCTTCTCGCCCTTCCTCCCTGGGTCTTCTCTGGGACCTTTGCCTGGAGCACTCTTCCTGCTCCTCCAGGCTTTGCTGATCCTTCCCATCCCAACCCTGAGTAGCTATGGGACCTCAGGTGGGCTCCTTACCTCTCTGAGCCTCAGAGAGGCCCAACTACCAATTGGAGAGCAGCTTTTCCTCACCCCTCAATACCCAACTCAAAAGGCCCTCCTTTGGGAGGGCTTCCCTGTTCTCAAGGAAGAGTGGCATGAGGACTGGGGGTGCCTATGTCTAACCGTGCCTCTGTCTAGAGGGGCAGAATTGTGCAGGTGGCAGGAGTGGTTGCTGAATGCCTGAAAGTATTTTCTGCCTGGGAAAGTCTTCACCCTTCAGAACCCACCCCAGGTGCCCCTTCTTCTGGGAAGCCCTCCAGGGGCAAGGAGCACCTGTCCAGGGGAACCCCCAGCTGATGAGCCCCTCCCTGACCCCCCCCAGGACATGTTTGCTTTCATGGGCAGCCTGGACACCAAGGGCACGAGCTACAAGTATGAGGTGGCGCTGGCTGGACCGGCCCTGGAACTTCACAACTGCATGGCCAAGCTGCTAGCTCACCCGCTGCAGAGGCCCTGCCAGAGCCACGCTTCCTACAGCCTGCTGGAGGAGGAGGACGAGGCTGCTGAGGTTGAGGCTACTGTCTGAGCCAGCCCTGAACACCTAACCTCTGTAGATGAGAGCCTTGGCCTACAGGGGTAGTTCTCAAAATGGCCTTTGTGGACCCCTGAGAGGGTTCCAGGAGGCGCCCCGGGCATTTGGGGGAGGGGTGGCTCTAGAAGGAGACCCAGGATTTCAGAGGCATCTCAGTGGCTTTGGGCACTCACCCTCCGTGTCTCCTAGCTGGTACCCCACTCCCAGTTGATGTTGATGTCAGTTGTAGCTTTTCATCTTCCCCATGTGATTCTGTTGTCATCAAAATAAAAATTTGAGAATCCCTAACCCAGGTCCACTTGTGTAAATTGGAGTCTTCTTGGTTGCAAATGACAGAAAAGCCCATTCATTGAGGCAGACGGGAAATGGGTTGGTTCTTATGGCTGAGAAGTTTGGTGGCTTCAGGCCAGGCTGTATCCAGGTGGTTGGACAGCAGTGGAATGCCCTGCATTTCCCCAACCCTGGAGAAGGGTGAGATGGCTCCACTGGTCCATTAGTCCTAAACCCGGTAAACGAGTGCTCTCCCAGCATCCCTGTAGGATTGGCCTTGCCTGGTCATGTGTCCTCCCATTAGGGGAGCCATGGCCACAGCTCTGGGTGCTCTGGTCAGGCTCCTATCACCCACTCCCAGGGGTTGGAAGACTGACAGCCAGTGTGGCTGCTCCCCAGAAGAAGGGGATGGGGAGACGGACACCACAGGTCGACATTCAAACACTTTTCTGGATAATGTGCAATTATGAAAGGTTACCAGCCAGATTTTCTTAGTTCCATATGAAATGAAAGTAATTTTATTCAACAACTGCTCTTCCTCCCTGTAAACATTTACTGAACACCTACTGTGTACCATGCCTGGTTGTTCTGTCCTCACATCAGCTTCTGGAGGATTCTTTTCCGTTTTAAGGAGGAGGAGACGGAGGGCAGCAGAGGTCCGGGGTCAGCTCTCCAAAGTAATGGACCCCGCTCCCACGGAGTTGACAAGAGGCTGCACAGAAGTTCCGGACGTGGGGGCTGGACAGGGAGGCCTCTCGTAGTATGGGGGCTGTGCGGACTAATGGAGAGTCCTTGGGTGGTGCAAATGGTTAAGCGGTTGACTACTAACCAAAAGGTTGATAATTCATACCTACCTAGGCACACCTAGCAGGTAAGGCCTGCTTCTGAAAAGTCAGTCTTGAAAACCCTTTGGAGCAGTTCAACTTTGCACACATGGGGTAGTAGACTCCATGGCAAATAAAACACCCTAATGGAATCCCCTCAGCAGAAGGCTCGGGCAGACTTCAATACTGGGCATCCTGGTCTTCTAGCTGGGCGCGTTTCCTCATTTGAGCAGAGATACTGGCAACACCCGAGCCCTTATCGGTCGCCACAGGCCCCTGCCTGAGCGCCACCCGGCATTGCGCGCCCTGGCAGCACTACCTCGAATTCTGAGCTTCATGTGGACACAGGTGCGCAGTGGCGCGGCCGGGCTGGGGGCCCCGCGTGGGGATGCCCGAGCGGCGGGGCGGAGGGGCTGCACGGCGCTTGCGCGCGGGGAAGGCGCGGGAAACCCGCGGCCTGCAGCGCGCCGGCACCGCGGAGCTATGGGCTCGGCGGCCGAGCTAGCGCAGCTGCTGCGGGCAGCTCTGCGGGCAGAGGAGCCGTGGTGAGTGCGGAGCCCGGGTGCGGCGTGGCTGGGTAAGGATCGGCGCCAATATGACGCTGTTATCCGCTGCTCTCAGGAACGTAGAGGAACTGCTGCGGCGTGGCGCCGACCCCAACTTGGTGCTCCCGGACGGCGCCGCGGCCATGCACCTGGCGGCCGGGGCGCGGCGCCCGCGCGGCCTCCGCTGCCTCAGTTTGCTGCTGCGGCGTGGTGGGGACCCCAATGCCCGGTGAGGCGGCCCGGCACTGGGCAGGTTGTCGGAGGTCTGGGGCGAGGCCTGGAGGCTCGGGGAGGGGCTCCACGGTCCGTGGGTGGTGCTTGGGGTCCAGGGGCCGGAAACCAGGATCCAAGGGAGGGTGGGGTATTTATTTGGTTGCCCTGGGGCCTAAGGATTGGAATCAAGGGTTCGGATCTGAGAGCTGAGGCTTGCAGCCTAAACCCAGGCTGGTGGGCGCCTTTGAAAACCAAGACCAAGGTTGATCCTTCCTCGGCCCCGCCCAGTTCGGCCGAGGCGCTGACCCCGCTGCACGTGGCGGCCGCCTGGGGCTGTTGCCGTGGCCTTGAGCTGCTGCTGAGCCAGGGAGCGGACCCGGCGCTGCGCGACCAGGTGTGGACCCTGTGCGTTCTGGTGGGGAGCGTGAGCGGGCGGGAGGGTGGGACTAGAGCCTCGGGCGCCCCCCGCTGACCGCGCTGCCGTAGGACGGGCTCTGCGCGCTGGACGTGGCGGAGCAACAGGGGTACCCGCACTGCGCGCGCATCCTGCGGGAACTGGGGACGCGGAACCAGACCTCGGCACCGACCCAGGAGCCCAAGCTCAAACCTGGCGGTGAGTAGGACCTGCTGGCCCGTGAGGCTTCTTGCATCGAGTTTGAGTGTCTCGGCCACTTTCTGTTTCCGGCTGTCTCCAGTTGTTTGTCTCCAGCTGTCTTTGGCATCCGCTGTTTCTGACCATCTACTACCATTCCTCGCTATCTAAGAGTGTCTCCAGCAGGCTCAGGTCGTTTCTGCTTGGTTCTACTGTCTTCGGTAGTTTACTGCTGTCTTCAGCCGTTTTCCACTCTCTCCAGCCTTTCCCTGTCACTGGCTGTGTTCCAATGGTCTCTAGCTGTCTGTTTCTGACTTTCCTTGGCTGTTCCCTACAGTCTCAGAATGTCTTCATCTTTCTGCCAGTTGCCAGCTGTCTCTAGCTGTTTCGGGCTGTCTCTGCCTCCCACTGTCTGTGTCTTCAGCTCACCCTCTCCTCCAACTCTTGCTCTTTCTGCAGCTTTCACCACCTCTTACTGAGTCTCGCTCAGATGTCTCTGTCTCTCCCATCTTGACCCACTGCTCCCTGATCCGTTTCTACTACTCCAGGCCCTGAAGGAAACAGACTGGTCACCAGCCCCTTTGGCCTTCCCGACGGGACCTCGGACTCCACAGTGCTCCAGACCCAGCTGGGCAGAAGTGACAGCAGGAACGTGGACCGAGAGGCTGCTGACCAGGATAACAGCTCGGAGGCCCCCCTGGGACTTTGGGATGGCAGCTCTGATGCCTCCTTTGTCACTGCAGTGGAAGCCTCTGGAGCTGAGGATTCAGCCCCTGATGGGCCCCACGGGGCTGGGTCATTGCCCCAGACCATGCAGGGACTCGTGCCTGGTGCCCGTCACCCCCAGCAAGTGCCAGGGTCTTTGGATGCCCCACCACCAGCACATCGAGCCATAATGGGGAACAAGGAGACAGGACTTAGCACCTGGTTACAGGCCCTGAATCTGGCCTCAGCAGATGCCGACGGCTCCACTTCTTCCTCTTCCCCTTCTTCCACACCCTGCGCGGCCCAGAGTCCCCCACGGGAATCTGACCTCCACTTCCTGACTGACGACCATACGTCCCTTGACAGTGATGTGGCTGCAGTCTGGCTGACAGAGGATGAGGGGCAGTCCACAGACAGCAGGGACCCCATCCCCACTTGCTGGTGCCCACCAGCCTCCACCATGTCCAACCTGGAGCTGTTGCAGCGATGCAAAGCACACAGAGTGCGCCCCGGCCCCGTCACCACCTTTACCCGACCATGCTACCTCCGTCGGCTGGAAGAAGCTAAGGCTGGGCCTGGTTAGTCCCTTCTGAGCCCATGGAGTCTCCAGCACCACTTTCCTCCTCTCTGGGAACCATCCCTTCCTTCTCCCTTGACTCATTTTCCCCTCCCAGCTCTAGACTTTGCAAGGCACAGCCCAGAGCTGGCCAAGGCCCTGCGGACGGGCCGGATCCCACTTGCCCAGGCAGATGAGGATGCATTGGCACAGGAGTTTGAGCGGCCTGACCCCTCCAGGAGGTGGCGGGAAGGGGTTGTCAAGTCTAGCTTCACATACTTGCTGCTGGATCCCAGGTAAGACTTAAGAGTGGGAGCTGGACCTTCCTAGAGACCAACTTTCCTTTGCTGTGTGATCTTAAGACAACTATGTGGTCCTCTCTGGTCATCTGCTTTCTTATCTATAAAGGTGGGTGGACCCAATTCAAGGTGCCAAGTGGCCCCAGGAAATAGCTACTCCTCTCTGATCTGTAAGGTGGGGTCACTGGACATGGGTTAGAGCTGCTATGACTTTGGGGGGTGTCTCTGGGGCCCCTCGTTTCCTTCTCTGAGCCACCCCTTTTGTCCAGGGAAACTCAGGATCTGCCAGGCCGAGCCTTCTTGCTGACCCCAGCTGAACGTCTCCGGACATTTGTCCGTGCCATCTTCTATGTGGGCAAGGGGACCCGGGCCCGGCCATACGCACACCTCTGCGAGGCTGCTGGCCACCATGGGTGGCCAGGAAAGCAGGTGTGGGCATGAGGGTTAGAGTCTCAGCAGGAGAAGGTGTGCCATGGGAGATGGAGGAAGGAGGGGGTTGGGAGGCTGACCTCTGACCCCTCCTCCCTCTGGCCCCCCAGGCCTGCCCCAAGGTGCGCCGGATCCTGGACATCTGGGCCAGTGGCTGTGGTGTCGTCTCCTTGCATTGCTTCCAACATGTGGTTGCTGTGGAGGCCTACACACGGGAAGCATGTCTTGTGGATGCTTTAGGTGGGTGCCTGGTACCTGGGGGGACACTTGACCTACCGATTCCCTCAACCACTCTTAGGGCTGTTCATTTGTTTAATGAGCAATCATTGAACGCCAGCTCTATTCCTGTATGTTCACATATTTTGCTCTGTTGGTTTATCCCCACTGGAGGACAACACATAGTGAGTTCATTGTCCCATGCTTGTGCTGAAGGGTACCTAAGCTGCCCAGTCACCCCCACCCTCATCTCCCCAGGGATCCGGATGCTGACTAACCAGAAACAAGGGCACTGCTACGGAGTGGTGGCGGGCTGGCCTGCTGCCCGCCGCCGCCGCCTGGGGGTGCACCTGCTACACCGTGCCCTCCTCATCTTCCTGGCCGAGGGAGAACGAGAACTGCGGCCCCAGGACGTCCAGGCCCGCAGCTGAGTGCTGGGGAATGGCCCATCCCGCCTGGGTGGGAAGCAGAGTGTTTGAATGTCCTTGCTGCGCTATGCAGATAGCGCCCCCATCTCTGCCTCCAGAAGGCCAGGCTGGCAGAGTGCCCCCCCTCCACAGGCCGAGGAATAACTCTGTTACAGGCGGAACTGCCAGGGAGGGAGTGAGCTCCTCATCCAGAGAAGCAGACAAGCAGGGATCTGAAGGTGCTTTGGAACATTCTGGTGCTTTGGAACATTCTGGTGCTTTAGCAGTTTGGTCCTTGCTGGGTGGACGGAGTCCACTTTTGTCTGCCAGTCACCAGGAGGGGTTGCTGGACCCCCCTGTGGGGCGGGCTGGGAGCTTCTTATACTCAGGGACTTCACTTCCGGACCAGTTACCTATCACTCTGAACCTCAGTATTCTCAGTGAAAAGCCCTACCTTGGCATGCAATGAGGTCATGCAGGTAAAGCCATGGCTCAGAGCCAAGCACTGGGCAGAGGTGGTGCCACAGCCCAGGTAGAAAATCTCCCAGGCAAAGGGGTGGCCCGTGGTGTTGACGTGTGGACAGAGCCTATGTAGGTTGATGGGGATGGAGGTGTGAGACCTCAGTCCATTGGAATCTCTGCAACCTGAGCCTCGTGGTGTGGCTTCACTGAGCCGGTCTCCTTTGCTGTAAAACAGGGTTAATAACTCCAGCTCCACAGCTGTGTTTCCAGATTGCAGGAGAGTTGCATGTACAAAGAGCCTTCATAAATGCCAAGCTGCTATTCTTATGAGGTGTTACGGCTGTAATTGGTGATGGCCCAGTTTGTGGGGGATGGTTTTTATTTTCTAGAAGTTGCTTTTACAAGGTGGATTTATGGACTTGGAGGAGCCCGGGTGGTGCAAGTGGTTTATAATTGGCTGCTAACTTAAAGGCCGGTGGTTTGAATCCACCTGGTGGCACTGCGGAAGAAAGGCCTGGCAGTCTGCTTCCATAGAGATGATAAAAGCCAAGAAAACCCAGTGGAGCAGAGTTCTACTCTGTAACACATGGGGTTGCCCTGATCGTAACTGACTCAATGGCAGTGGTTTAGGGGTCTGGGGAGATGTGTCTCATTGGGTTCATGACCTGCCTGTTGCTATGGCTCAGTGAACCAGGGCCCACAGGGAGAGATGTGCAGTGTAGGTGCAAGTTCCACTTGACTCACATTCCCCCATTACTGAGCTCCGGGGGTGGTGGTGGGGGAAGCAGGGATTGGGATTAAGGACACACTCTCTGGAGTGGGCCTGGGATTTAACACTTGTACAGAGCTTAAGGGGCCTTGGAGCTTGTTTTCCTTGCGTGTAAAACAGGGAGGCTTCCCACACATCAAGTCTTACGAAGCAACAGCAACAAAAACAATATGGCATGGGTCCAGGAATACACAAACAGATCACTTGAAAAGAATCCAGAGGTCCTAAAAAACCTATGGAGAGGTGGAATTTAGTCCAACCCAGGGTTTATCACCTTCAGCCCTACTAACATTTGGTTCCGGATCATTCTCTGTGGTGGGGACCATCCTGTGCACCATAGGGTGTTGAGCAGCATCCCTGGCCTCCTCCCACTAGATGCCAGTAACACTGCCCCCCTCCCATTTGTTATTTGCTGTTGATCAGACCCAACTCATAGTGACCCCTCCTTGGGTTTCTGAGGTGGTATCACTACAGAAGTAGATTGCCCAACCTTTCTTCCAAGGGGTGGCTGGTGGGTTTGAACCGCCAGCCTTCTGGTTATAGTCAGGTGCCTTAGGCACTCCCAGTAGTGACAAGCAAAAAGGGCTTAGACATCACTAATGTCACCTGAGTGGTAAAGTCACACCTGGCTGAGACAACTGGTGTGAGCTAAAGATGGGCTCACAAACCAGTGGGGTAGGGACAGAGATTGAGGAACTCAGGCGACACTCCCTCATGCCATTCACACAAACCACAGATAGAACTAGATAGACACGGCAGACTGAACTGGGTCCCCCCAAAATATGTGTTGGAATCCTAAGCTCTATACCTATGGGATCAGGGTTTTCATGAGGCCCTGTCAGCGTGGGTGGGTCCTAAACCTAATCACTTCTGAGTGATAAAAAGAGCAGCATAGAGATGAGCACAGATGGGGTGGGGGGAATGGCAGCACATGTGAAGACCACCAAAAGACCAAGGAATGGTGAAGGGGACCTTCCCCCAAAGCCCACAGAGCTACAGCCAGTACCCTGACTTCAGACTCTGCCTCTTTCACGGTGAAGAAATAAATGTCTTTATTTAAGTCACTCACTTGTGTTTGTGTTATAGCAGCTCTTGGAAACAGACAGATGCCAAAACAAAACCTGTTGCTGGCAAGTCAATTCCGATGTGTTTTAGAGTGGGACGGTGTTTCACAGATGACTGCTACCTTTACTAAGGGTTCCTGGGTGGAGCAGACACTTTGTGATTGGCTGCTAACAGAATAGTTGCAGTTGGAGCCCACCCAGCAGGTCTGCTTTGTATGGGGTCAGCAGGAGTCTGAATTGATGGCACCCAACAACCACCACCTTTACAAAAGTAGCTTGCAAGGGCTTGCTTCTATGATGCTGCTGTGTGGGTTTGAAATGCCAGCCTTTCAGTAGTTGAGTGCAGATAGGTACATATTAGAGTACAGGTGCCATCAAGTTCATTTTGACTTAGCAACTTCGTGTGACAGAAGAGAACTGCCCCATAGAGTTTTATGGCTGTCATCTTTAGGGAAGCAGATGTCTAGGTCTTTGTCAGAGCTCCTGGGTGTGTTTGAACCACCAGCTTTTCAATTAGCAACTGAGTGTTTAAACATTTGCATTACCAGGGCTTTAGATATATAGAACAGCAAAATTCTGACCTTGGGGCAGGGACATCCTTTAGCCAGACATAAAAGGAAATGACAGCTTTGGTGGTTTCACAATAAAAATTGTCTATGATGAGAGCGACCCTAAACCAAGTTGAGAGGTAAAATGGAGGTAAGTCAAATGAGGGGGTGGGGGTGGGGTGGGTTGATGAGGAGTCATTCAGTGAACTGGTGGGTGTCAGGCATTCAGCCCAGGGCCTGGTCTGCAGTGAGCACTCAATTATGGCAACTGTCCTACATGCAGGAGACCTGAGTTCAATTCTCACCCAGTCCACCTCAGCCATCACCCATTTGTCCCACTGCCCACCTGTCAGTTTGTTGTACTGTGGTAGCTTGCATGTTGCTGTGAGTATATCTCACCTGAATTTAGAGACCATCTTGAGAACAGATTTGATGCACTGAACACTAATGATGGAAGACCAGAAAAATGACATGACATGTAAGACATCAGGAAGAAAGTAAAAGGTTACAAAGACAGGAAAGGAAGAGAAGACAAAAATGGATGTTGGAAGATCCTGAAACTTGCTCTTGGATGTAAAGTAGCTAAAGCTAATGGAAGAAATGAAGTAAAAGAACAGGCGGTTTCAAAGGGCAGCTCGAGAGGACAAAATATTACAATGAAATGTGCAGAGACCTGCACTTAGAAAACAAAAGGGAAGAACATGCTTGGTATTTCTCAAGTTGAAAGACCTGAAGAATTAATGCAGAAGAATTTATTTGAATTGTGTTGGCAAAGAATATCAACTATACCATGGACTGCTAGAGGAACAAACAAATCTGTCACAAATACAGCCAGAATGCTCCTTAGAAGTCAGAATGGCCAGTCTTTATCTCTGGTATTTTGGTCATGTTATCAGGAGGGGACCAGTCACTGGAGAAGGGTATCATGCTTGGTAAAGTAGAGGTCAGTGAAAAGGAGGAAGACCCTCAATGAGGTGGACTGACAAAGGGGCTGCAATGATTGGCTCAAGCATACCAAGTACTGTGAGGATGGTGCAGGACCCGGCAGGGTTTTGTTCTGTTGTACACCCGGTTGCTGTGAGTCAAAAATGATTCAATGTCACCTGAAGGCAACATAGACAAAACACTGAGTGATCCAGGAAGACTCAAAAGAAGAGGGAAGGAATACGCAGAGTAACTGTATCAAAAAGAATTGGTCGAAGGTGACAGCCAGGACAGGAACAGTTAAATGCACACCCCTGTTCATCACAGTACTGTTTACAATATAGCAAAAAGATGGAAATAACCTACCTGCCCATCAACAGAAGAACAGATGACCAAACTATGGTACGTACACACAGTGGAATGCTATGCAGCACTAAAGAATAATTTAGAGTCTGTAAAACACCACATAACATGGATGAACTTGGGGGACATTATGCTGAGTGAGATAAGTCAATCACAGAAGGACAAATACAGTATTAGTTCATTGTTGTGGAGGGTCAAAGGAAGGAGGGAAACTTTGTTGGTTGCCAGGGGTGGGAAGGGAGGGGAGGGAACATTTTGAAAAAAAAAAAAAAAAGAATTGGTCAACATTCAACCATTTCAGGATATAGCATGTGATCAAGAGCTGAGAGTATTGAAAGAAGAAGCCCAAGCTGGCTGAAGGCATTCACAAAAACAAAACTCCAGGAATTGACTGAATATCACCTGAGATATTTCAACATCAGATGCAATGCTGCAAGCACTTTCTTGTCTATGTTAAGAAATCTGGAAGACAGCTCCATAGCCAACTGACTGGAAGAGATCAGTATTTGTGCCCACTCCGAAGAAAGTGATCCAACCAAATGCAGATATTACTGACAATATCTATCAATATCTCATGCAAATAAAATTTTGCAGAAGAAAATTAAAAAATGGTTCCAACAGTACATTCACAGGGATCTGCCAGAAATTCAAGCAGGATTCAGAAGAGGACATGAAATGAGGGATATCATTGCTAATGTCAGATGGATCTTGGCTGATACCAGAAATATGTTTACTTTGTGTTTATTGACTATGCAAAGGCAATTGTGTGGGTCATAACAAATTATGGCTAACTTTGTGAAGAATGGGAATTTCAGAACCCTTAATTGTGCTCATGAGGAACCTGTACATAGACCATTCTCATTCTAAGGAGCATTCAAACAGAAGAAGGGGATACTGTGTGGTTTAAAATCAGGTAAGGTGTGCATCTGGGTTGTATCATTTCACCATACTTAACTTAATCTGTATGCTGAGCAAATAATCTGAGACGGTGGACTACATGAAGAAGAATATAGCATAGCATCAGGATTGCAGAAAGACTCACTAACAACCTGCGATAGGTACACGACACAACCTTGCTTGCTAAAAGTAAAGAGGACTCGCCGTACTTACTGGTGAAGATCAAAGATTATGGTCTCAGTATGGATTGCACCTCAACAGAAAGAAAACCAAAATCTCACAACTGGACCAATAAACAAGATCATGATAAATGGAGAAAAGGTTGAAGTTATCAAGGATTTCATTTTACTGGTATCCACAGTCGATACCTATGGAAACAGAAGTCAGGAAGTTAAAGGACACATTGCATTGGGCATATCTTCTGCAAAAGACCTCTTTAAAGTCACTTTGAAGACTAAGATGGGCCTGACCTAAGCCATGGTATTTTCAATTGCCTCACATGCATAAGAAAGCTGGACAATGAATTAATGCCTTTGAATTATGGTGTTGGCATAACAAGACTTGGAAGAAGTACAGCTGGACTGCTCATTAAAAGAGGGGACGGTGAGATTTTGTCTCACATACTTTGGGCATGTTATCAGGAAAGGCCAGTCTCTGGAGAAGAAAATCATGCTTTGTAGAGAGCGAAAAAGAGGAAGGCCCTCAATGAGATGGACTGACACAGTGGCTGCAACAATGGGCTCAAACATAGCAGTGACTGTGAGGATGGCATGGGACCCAACAGTGTTTCACTATGAGTGGGAGCTGATTCAATGGAACCTAAGAACAGCAACCCATCTGACTGGAGGCTGGCTTCTTGCTTAACAATGCTGAATAGGTCTCAGTGGAGTTTCTAGACTAAGATGGACTAGGGGGAAAGGCCTGGCCAGCTACTTCTGAAAAATCAGCCAATGAAAAACCCTATGGATCACAGCAGTCCAATCTGCGACGGGCTTACACAGGACTGGGCAGCATTTCATTCTGGTGTGCATGGCATCGTTGTAGACTGCTGCAACTCAATGGCAGCTAATGGTCTTGGGCCATGTCCACTGACCCTCACAACCTCCTCCTGCCTGACAGAGAGGAGCTCACTCCCTGACTGCCTGCCTTGCTCTATGGGAATACTGCCTAAGCAGCCTCTGCATTCTGGGGAGGGGGCACTCAGAAAGCAAACCTGGACCATAGGCATCCTCAAGCCTCTGTAGGTCAGGTCTGAGGGTGCAGCACCAGCGTCAGCCCAGTCTACAGATGGGGAAACTGAGGCTCAGAGGGTGAGGACTGTTCTCTAGGGTCCCCTCAACATTGGTTTGGAGACCCCAATTGTCATTTCTTTTTATTGAGTTATAATTTTAGATGTGCAGGTTCTATGGCGCCAGACCCTCCCACCCTACCAACCTTGGGCAACAGTGCCTCCCAGTGCCATGGAAAGGAGGGTATTGGGGGGGGGCGTCTTGGGGAAGGGACTGCCCCAAGGGTCCCTGTGGGGCTCGCGGGTCCCAGGATAAAGCACGCTGACACGAAGACAGAGAGCAGGGGTGGGGGATTGTCTGGCCTGTGGCGTGGGGGATAGGGGACTTCTGTACAGGGTCACCTCCGCAGGGTCCCAGTAGCGGTCCCCATACAGTAAGGGTCCGCTGGACTCAAGCAGAGAGCAGGGCATTCACCTGGCTCCCCGGTGCCCCACCCCGGGGGCATCTCTCTGACCTGGCTCCGCCCATGGGGCGGGGCTAGCGGCCATGCAGGTGGCCGTGCTGCAGAAATGGCTCTGGCCGCAGCTTCTCCAACTTCTCTGCTCACCAAGCAATACCCGCCACCCACGGCTACTTTTTCTCCTCTGGGGGCGCGGGTAGGGCCTGCGGCATGGGCTCAGGCTCCCACAGCAGGAACTCGTGAAGCAGCGTGTTCACGGTCTCTGGGCACTCCAGCATCACCATGTGGCTGCCCTCTTCGATCAGCTTCAGGAAGGCCAGGAGCAGGATCTGCGAGGGCGTGGAGCAGTGGGTGGGGCGGTGGGCGTGCAGTAGGCTGCCCTGAACCCCTTCACCATCCACTCGTGGCCCTCAGCTGTGGGAAGTCCTTCTTGCAGTCTACCCTTCATCCTACTCTTCCACCCGATGGGGAGCCAGAAGATGGCCTGTCATCCTGCTGGGGCAGGATGTGATGGCCTGACTCATTCATTCATTCGGCATTTATTAAGTGTCTATAGTGAGTCTGGAGTTTGGACAATATGTGCAAGGAGTTCTGGTGGCTCAGTGGCTAAAGCATTCAACTGCTAACCAAAAGGTGGGTGGTTCGAACCCACCAGCTGCTCCTCAGAAGAATGATGAGGCAGTCTGCTTTCATAAAGATTCACAGCCTTGGAAACCCTTGGGGCTATTCTACTCTGTCCTATAGGGTCTCCATGAGTTTGAATTGACTCATTGACAGTGGGTTTGCTTTTGGGTTTACAGTACATGCAGAGCATGGTTATCACCTCTGCACTACTAACATTTGGTTCTGGATCATTCTCTGTGGTGGGGGCCTTCCTGTGCACTGTGGGGTGTTAAGCAGCATCCCTGATCTCTACCTACTCGGTGCCAGTAGCACCTCCCCCCCGTCATGACAACCAGTAATGTCCTCATAAGTCCCATGGGGGGTGGGGAGTCACCCTGGGTGAGCACCACTCCTCCAAAACTATCCTAAATGCTAAGGGTCCCAAGTCCCTTTCCTGGACATCTCTAATCGAGTCTGATGCTTCCTGAACCTGGTCTCTCAGGACCATTCAGCCCCTCACTGGTCACCCACAAATCCACAGCACAGACCCCGTCCACACACCTTTGAGGGGGTGGCTGGGGACGCACGTGATCTTAAAACCTTTTCAGAACAGCCGCACTTTCGGGATTTCACCTTTTGTAATAGACTAACACTTTTTGTTTCCATTGCCTCAGCGTGGAAGGAGAAAGAGGTGATTCCAGAACTCCCACCCCTTGGTTGACCCATGGCCCCTGTGGTGCCTGCCCCTCTTCGGCCCCGCCCCCTACCTCGGCCATGCGCTGGTCCTCCTCCACAGGCACAAACTTGTCGTGCATGCCGTGGACAAGCAAGACTGGGACGGTGAGCTCTGCGTGGTACACTTCGTCGCCCTCGGGCCAGTACTGACCGCTCATCATGGCGCGCAGCACGAAGGATGACACGTTGAATGCGTTGCCCTCTTTCAGCAGCTGCTTTTCCTTTGCCCCTTGGCGGGCAAAGCCAGCCCTGGCAGGAGAAGCACCTTGGAGGCCCTCGAGCAAGCCCCAAACCCAGGGGCACCCCAAATGCCAGCCTCAGCCCCAGCGGAACCGCCCTCCCACCAGAGTCCTAAAGATGCTGGGGCCAGGGACTCTGTCCTGGGGTGGGGACACTCACTTGAGGAAGCTCCAGGCCAGGCAGGGGGACAGGCAGTGCAGGACACAGGTGGGCATGTTGAAGATGGAGCAGAAGCTAGGCTCCAGCGCTGTGGGGCCACCGCCGTTGATCATGATCACTTTGTGCACCAGGTCTGGGTACTCATGGGCCAGGAACGTGCAAAAGGACACGCTGCCCAGGGAGGAGGGGTGAGGGTCAGCAAGAGAGACAGAACTCAGTCATCTGATCCCATCATGGGAACAACCACACCAGCCAAGTTGACACACAGCTCCAACCATCACAAGAGACAAAACCAAATCAAACCCACTGCCACTGAGTCGATTCTAATTCATAACGACCCAAGGGGACAGAACAGAACTGCTCCACAGGCCTTCCGAGGCCATCAGTCTTTACAGATTGTCCCGTTTTTCTCCTGCGAAGTGGTTGATGGGCTCGCCAGCCTTTTGGTCAGCAGACAGATGCTTTAATCACTGCAAAGGGGAGGCAGTTAATGCCCTCCCATCATCCAGGAGGCGGGTACTTTAAGGCCAAGGTTCTTCTAAGGTCCGTCAACACCTAATGGGGTAACGTGGGGCGTCCTGAATGCCCCGAAAGTAGGAGATTGTGTGTGTTGGGGGCACATTTTTCTGGAGCAAGGATCCAAATCCAGAAATTTCCTCTGATTTTCAAATGCTCCATGACCTCTAATAGGGTAAGAATTATTTATTACCATACATCTTTGGTTAACTGCTATACTAGCTGAAAGGTTCGTGGTTGTAACGCACCCAGGGGCACTTCAGAAGACAAGCCTAGAGATCTGCTTGCAAAAGGTCACAGCCTTCTAGGCTCTTAAACGCTTGCAAGCAGCCATGTAGGTGCAACGATGGGTCTCTCCTCGTCCAGAGCAAAGAAGAATGAAGAAAACCAAAGAATCATGGAAACAAATAGTCCTCATGACTGGTACACCATTTGATCCTCCACCTATATGACTATGAGACCAGAAGAACTAGATGGTGCCTGGCTACCACTGTCAACCACTCAGAGGGGGATCTATGTAGGAGATCCTGGATAGAGAGGGAGAACAATGTGGAACAAAACTCAAAATCATTTGGAGAAAAAAAAAAAAAAGGGAGACCAGGTTTGCTCGTCTGATAGAGCCTGGTGAAACCACTGAGACTATGGTCCCTAGCTGCCTTTCAGGTCTGGAATTGAACCCATACCCATGGCTTCCAGTCAAATAAAGGACAGGCATATGAGTTGAACAGGTACCTGAGGTAGATACACTCCTTGGAGGGAAGAATCATGGGAGAAAGAAGGTCTGCTTATGCACAGGGAGACAGCTCAGGGGGCAGGAGTGCATGGAGGGATGGGCACAGGGAAAAGGTAACTATCGAGAGGAAGTGGGAGGGGAGGTGTTGCATTGGGGTAAACTGTCAATGTCATCAGACAACGTGTATGTGAACTGCTGTATGGAAAGCGAATTTGCTCTGTGGACTTTCACCCAAATCACAATTAAAAAAAAAAAAAAAAAAGTCACAGCCTTGAAAACCCTACAGGGCAGTTCTACTCTGCACACATAGGTCGCCAGGAATTGGAATCGACTTGAGGACAACTAACAAGGGTCAGGAAAGCAATCTGTTTAAACTGGCCCTTTGGATGCCCAGAGAAGGGTCACTACTGTCTATGTATCTGTTTCCTTTAAGGATCTTCTCTCTCTCATGTGGGAGTAGTTTTATACCAAGTGGAAGGCCACCACTTCAGGGGCCCCCAAAGTCCAGTTCCTCATTCTGTGTAAAGCAAGAGTAGGCAAGCTGCAACCTGTGGGATGGCCACCACCACCGATTTTTTTGTAACTAGAGTTTACAATGTTTTGTAAATAAGTTTCACTGTTGGGCCAGCAACACTTTTGTTTATGGCTGTTTTCACACGACAAGAACAGAACTGGGAAGTTATAAAATGAAACTCCATATAGCCACAAGCCTATCATACTTAGTTCCTAGCCCTTTAGTTTGTCAAGCAAAGGTTCTGGGTTTGTTTTAAAGAGCTTCCATCACGAGCATCTTGTAAGGAGGGACAAGATACAGGCAGAAGTAAGGCTGACCTGACTGTACTAGTGACTTGCTATGTGCCCTTGGGCAGGTTGTTTAACTCTCTGTCCTTCAGTTGCCACATCTGTGAAATAGTAACTGGGCTACTGACCTCATAGTCTTGCTATGAGTTGATGCACATAAAAGTGTCAACAGGAACTACCAGATAGGTGTGCATTCAATTGAAGGTGTCACTTGCTGTAAACATTGACTTTTTTAGGATGGTACCATCTTAGCAAGTGAGAGCTATGTTCCCTCCCAAACTGGATTCCTTTCTTTTGGGTACTTATGTAACTTATTTCTTTTTCTTGTCTTACTGCATGGGCCAAGGTGCTCTGGTGGCATAGCAGTTAAAGCAGTCAACTGCTAACCAAAAGGTTGGCAGTTCGAACTCACCAGCTGCTCCATAGGAGAAAGATGAGTCAATTTGCTTCCATAAAGATGTACAGCCTTGGAAACCCAATGGGGCCATTCTGTTCTGTCTTAAAGAGTTGCTATGAGTTGGAATAGGAGCTCTGGTGGCACAGTGCCTAAGGCACTTGATTTCTAACCAGAAGGCTGGCAGTTCAAACCCACCAGCTACTCCTCGGAAGGAAGGTTGGGCAATCTACTTCCGTAGTGCCACTGCCTCAGAAACCCAAGGAGGGGTCGCTATGAGTCGGGTATGACTCGATGGCAAACAACAACAACAACAAGAGTTGGAATCAACTCAGTGACAGTGGGTTTGGTTTGCCTTTTGGTATTGCATGGGCTACAACTGCTAAAACAGTGGTTTTCAACCTGGCTGGCTTATTGGATCCTGTGCTTCCTCCTGGGTGAAGGAGAGAATGGTTCTATTCAGTGGTCAGGTGCTAGGCCTAAAGCCTTCTATGGAATGGGCTCTCGGTAAATGCCTTTGTAAGTAGCATGTACAGGATTCTAATGAGCCCTTCCTCATCACAGCAGGATAACCTGAGCTGATTTTTAAATTTAGTCCAAGACTGCAATTCTCGCTCAGGGTGCTTCTGCTCCTAAGGGACCTTGAGCAATGCTGGAGACATTTTTGACATGACTGAGGGGGGCTGTTAAGAACAGGGATGTTGCTAAACATTCTACAGTGCACAAAATGGTCCCAGCAGCCAAGAACTGTTGTTACTGTTAGCTGCTGTTGAGTCAGCCCTGGCTCATGCCAACTCCATGCACAACAGGATCAGACTGCTATAGTCCACAGAGTTTTCACTGGCTGCTTTTCAGATGTAGATCACCAGGCCTTTCTTCGGAGTCTGTTTTAATCTGGAACCGGTTCAACATCATAGCAATATGCAAGCTTCGATTGACAGATGGTGCATGAGGTAGACTGGCCAGGAACTGAACCGAGGTCTACCACATGGAAGGTACCACTGAACCATCACTAAATGTCCCAAAATGTCATAATGCTGAGGTTGAAATCCTGCCTTAAAACAATGTGAAGGAGTTCTCATGGTGCTGTGGTTAAAGCACTGGACTACTAACCAAAAGGTTGACAGTTCGAACCTACCAGACACTCCACGGGAGAAAGATGTGGCAGTGTGTGTCCATCAAGATTTACAGCTTTAGAAACTCTATGGGGTAGTTCTACTGTGTCCTATAGGGTCACTATTAGTCAGAATTGACTCGACGGCAGTGGGTTTGCATTTAAAACAATGTGAAGCAACAGTAATAATGATGGGAACTGTCTTTTTGCAAATTTTCATGGGGTTTTCATTATGTGGAGGAAGTCAGTGTTTTAAGGCTGGATCTCTGGGCCCTGGCAGCCCCCACCGTGACCCCAGCCCCACACAGTGCCGACTTACCCATATGAATGCCCGATGAGCACATTTCGCTTCTTGGCATAGCGCTTGAAGATGGCGCGCATGTCCTCAGCCAGAGCGTAGAAGGTATAAGCAGCGGCAACTTGGGGTGCAGAGCTGGCCCCATGGCCTGCCAGGTCAGGTGCCACCACCTCATAGCCCAGGCGTACAAAGAAGTCCAGTTGTTCCTTCCAGATGGCCAAGGAGCCACCAACCCCATGGATGAAAAAGAGCACCACGTCGGCCTGGGCGCCCTTGCAGCTAGTGATGCGTTTCTCACAGTCAATGTGGATGGTCCGCTTGGGGCGCCGGGCACGCCTCCGCCGCCCACCGCTGCCTGTGCTGCCTGGGCCAGAGCGGCCTTCGCTGCCCGCAGGCTCGGCCAGCTCCACCTCCAGGGCGGCCGGCGGCTCCCCAGAGCCATTCTGCCAGTGCAGGAGGTCGGCTCGTGGCTCCCGGCCCAGGTTCTCCACCAACAACCGCCCATTGCGGTACACGGTGATCCGGCGCTGGCAGCGGACCAGGCCAGAGCGGTCCCCATGAGCGTCGTGGGGGTTTGGTGGTGGCGGTGGGGTTGGGGCTGAGGCAGGCCCAGCGTGTTTCACCCGCAGCACGCGGCCTGGCTTGACCTCCACAAAGGTGTAGCCATCACTGGACTCAACACTCTCCAGGGGTCCCACAGTGTTGGGCGGTGCGCCTAGCAGGCAGCAGAAGATCCCGTCGGTCACCCCAGTCAGCATGGTGCGTCCTGTGAATGGGGACAGGTGCCGGCTTAGGGGCCATCTGAATGGAAGGGGCCCTCTACCCTCACAAATACCCACTCCTGCTACCTTGGTCGGGCAATCTGACTATGAGTTTCTTCTAAGAGTCTCTATCGCAGGGAGAGCTGGAGCCAGCCAAAGTACCAGAAAGAGACTCTGTACAGGGCAGTGCCAGCTTTGGCCACTCTCCCAGGGCAGCCTCAGAGAGAGGGACCTGGCCATAGCTATGGCTGCTCCCAAGAGGCATCTATAGGGAAGGCAGTGAAATTAGGGGCTTCCTGGAGAAGTGGCAATATTTGGCTCAGCTCAAGTTGACAGCAGTTATGGCCACATACAGGAGTCCATGGGTAGTGCAAACAGTAAAGTGCTCAATTACTAGCTGAAAGGTTGGAGGTTCGAACACACCCATAGGCACCTCAGGCCTGACAATCTGCTTCTGAAAGGTCACAGCCGCAAAAACCCTATGGAGCAGTTCTACTCTGCACACGTGAGGTCACCATGAGTCAGAACTGACTTGACGCCAAGTAATGACAACTACAGCAACATGGCTATCTAAACCCATTCATTCATGAATGCCTTCATTTACTCATTTTTACTAAGCTGGTGTCACTCTAGTAACACTCTGGTAGCATAGTGCCTAAGGCATTTGACTGCTAACCAGAAGGCTGGTGGTTCAAACCCACGAGCTACTCCTCGGAAGGAAGATGGGGCAATCTACTTCCGTAGTGATACTGCCTCGGAAACCCAAGGAGGAGGGGTCGTTATGAGTTGGGTCCAACTCGACAGCACATAACAACAGTGTTACTTTTTTTTTTTTAATAATATTGTTTAAGGTGAAAGTTCACACAGCAAATTAGGTTCCTTTGTGACAATTTCTACAGATTATTCAGTGACATCGGTTACATTTTTCACAATGTGCCATCATTCTCATTCATTCCATCTGGTGATACCACTTCTAGTGCTCTAGTTTCCCTGTCCCCTGACCTTCTCACCTTTGCATGAGTGTCATTTTTTACTATTTGGTCTCCTATAGATGCTTTATATATTTATTTATTTTTGGTAAGGAGTTCATTACTCTAGGATGATCTTCTTTATTTTATGAGCCAATCTGTTATTTAGCTAAAAAGTGACATCAAGGGATAATTTTGGTTTAAGGTTTAAAGAATATCTCAGTCCTCTAATCTCAAACAGTCCAGTAAGACTGGACTTTTTAAGAATTTGAGTTCTATTCCACATTTTTCTCCTGTTTTATCAAAATCCTTCTATTGTGGCTAAACTAGCATTTCTTGAGGGGCTCTGAAATGATCTTCAAAAGTACAGACCCTCACTGAGCCCTACCTCAGGCCTCTGGCTAGATACTTGGTCCCAAAAAGGTGAAGTCCTAGGGGAGGAGGTTGGGAACTGAGTTCCAGAAGCTCCTCATCAGAGTGGGCCCATTCTAATGAAAATTACACTCATATGGACAGAGCAGGCTTGGAAAACCTGGCCTCTCTGAGTTCCTCCTACCTTTACCCAAGATGGGTGAGCTTGGCTGGTTTCACAGATGGGCAAATTGAGGCCCAGGGAAACGGAATCTGCAGTTTTAGAGGGAGGCGTTGGGAGGAAGCTGCTCTCTGTATCCTGAGTTCTGGTATTGACAAGGACAAGCCTCAATGGTGGGAAGATGAGGATGGAGGCGCCAGGCTCTGGCTGAAGGCCTCCATCCCCCTCCTGAACCACTTCCTCCCCTCATGTCCATGGTAACCGTAGGCTGTTACATAACGCAAGGGGAGCCCCACGCTGTGCCCCCCCTCATTGTCTAGGGCTTGGGGGTGCGGAGAGGGAGCCCCTCAGATCCGGGCCCCCAGCCTAGGCGCCTCAGAAAGCACGCTCACCCAAAGCCCGGTCTCAGGAGACCCAGACACGCTGATGGAGGGGAGCTAGCCGCGCCCCCACCCCGGGAGGGGCCCCCACCCGGATTGTGGAGTGGGACGCAGATGCACGGTGCCAGCCGCTTGTACACCAGGACCCGTCAGCCCTGCGGTGGGGCCGGGGCCTCCGGGGATCCGGGGCTTTCTAGGAGCCTTGGCCTGGAGGGCATCCCCTCACCCCCCTGACACGGGCCCTGATGTCCCCCGCCTGGGCCTGCTCCCCGCTCACCTCATCGAGGGCCCTGGGGCCCGGGGCGGGACAGAGGGGACCCAGGCCGACAAGCCAGCGTCCGCCGTCGGGTGCCGTTTACATGGTGGCGCGAGGTCGTGCCGGGCGCATCGACGCGGGCGGCAGCAGTGGTAACGGACCCAGGGCGGTCAGCGCCAGGGTATCCCACCGCGACTGAGCAAGCAGTCCCTTTAAGTCCCTGCACGGGGGGGCGGGGCCGTGTGCGGACGGGCGGCCGCTTGGACCAATTACAGCTGTGAATTGAAGTGGCCTACTTATTTGGCCAATCAGAGGCGGCGGCGCTAAGATGGAGGCGGGCACTAGGAGCAGCAGCCCGCCTCTTTCAGGAGCTCCAGGAGGTGGGGGGAGGGATTGGGCCTGGCTCAGAGCCGAGACTGGAGTCGCAACCTGGGGTATGCTGGGCTTCGGGAGGACGGCCAGGGTCTTCTCCCTGCGCATGGCATCTCCATGGCCAGTCCATGCCTCCAAACCGCCCTGTCCTCGCCAAATGGAGCCCCCTTGCCCCTATACCTTCTCTCTGTGCTTACTCTTTCCTTCTCTAAACAGAGATTCCTAGATCTTTCAAATTTAAGGTGAAAGAAACTGAAGCTCATGAAGGGCAAGTTCACTTGCCCAAGGTCCCAAGGCAAGCAAGAGGCAGGCCTGGGACTTGAACTGAAGGCTATATGATTCTAAGGCATGGTAATTGTTATTTGCTAAATCTTAAAAAATCAATCTTAGAGCTGTGAATAATTAGGGAACCCAAGTTTCACAACTCCCACCTGTACTGATGAAGCTGAGGAAGGCGGTGGCCAGAGGCAGAGGCCTCCAGCTCGGGGGTCCAGGCTGGACCAAAGGCCCCCAAGAGAGTGAGAGTCAGAGAGCTCAGGGTTCAAATCCAGTCTCTGCTGGAAGTGTGACCTTGGAGAAGTCACTTCACTTCTCTGAACCCCAATTCATTTCTCTATGAAATTAATCTTACCTTGAGTTTGCTATGTAGGTTAAGATGGCTTTGCCTATAAGTGTTCAATAAATTGTAAATCACTCACTGGTATTATTATGGTGGTGGTTGTTTGCTAAATTGTGATGTGGGTGGCATGGACTTCAGGGAACACAGGGTTAACTGTTCCCTTGCTCTTGGCCCACTCTCTGCCCCAGGAATTTGCTGCCAAAGCTGGATTAGGTCCAGCCACCCACACTTGCACACTCAGGGTGTTCCCAGGAGACTTCGTATTTGTTTATTCATTCACCAAACACTCCCACCTCAAGCTGGGAGATATTGGGGTGTCCACAGGGACTCAGCGCCAGGCCTGGCCCTTGAGGGGCTCTTGTATTGCAGGGAGAGTCTGAGGATAGGGCACTCCCAGCCACATGTAGTCAGAATTGGGCTAGAGGGAGGGACAGGGCTGGTGTGTGTGTGTATGTGTGTGCGCAGAGGGAGACATCTGAGGATGATTTTAAAGGACGAATAAGAAGATACCAGACTAAAAGGAGGGTGTGGCTGAAACGAAGGGTATGTATGTGTCTATAGGAGGCCCATGCCTGAGGAACCAGACATTTTCCCTAGTGTAATGGGGAGCCATTGAGGGTGTGGGAGCAGAGGAGAGACTCAGATCTGTGGATTAGAACATTTTTTTCTAGGCCTGAATAGGGACGAGACTGGCAGAGGCAAGAGTGGAACTTGTGAACCTTACAGATTGAGAAACGGAAGGCCAGAGAAGATGGGGGATCACACTCCAAGGGCATCCAGCCAGAGCGAACTCAGGCCTCCTGGGCTCCCCGCCAAGGGGCAGAGAGTTGGCAGGGGCTAGAAAAAAGCTGCCAGCCAGCTGTGTGCCATCTGCCTGGCTACTGCTGGGGATGGGGCCCGTTTCCAGCGCCTGCCACCAGCTGCGCCACAGTTATCTCGAGGCACCCTCTGCTGGACAACAGGAGAAGGAACTACACCTCCCAGCCAACCTCGGGACATATCGTGCATACCGAGGAGGCGCCATTCACCTCCACCTGCTGGTCGCAATGAAGAACTACATTCCCTTGCGGAAGCGGAAGCTTACATCTCTGAGCAGACATGAAACTGCAACTCCCAGAGGCCCACGCGGCAACTCCGACTTTGCTGTTGGAGAAACTACACTTCCCAGAAAGGTGTTTACTGCAGTGGCAGAGCCTATGGGCTGCGGAATCGCTGGCAACAGGGACAGCGTGACGGGCGGCTGGACATGGCTTCCTTGACCGGGTCTTTGGGGCGCCTGTGTGGCCTCGCGGGCAGGTCGGCGCCACTGCGAGGGGGCAGGTGAGTTTTCAAGGGGTCCTCTCTCCAAAGCTGGGAATGAGAGGGTTGTCAGGGACTGCCGCCTACTATTTACCCCCACGTGACCTGCCAACCCTTTCGCATTAATGGAGCGTCTTTTGCATCCAGGCATTGTCGCAGCGCGGATCCGGAAACCGAAGCTCAGAGAGGTTGAATGCTTTTTCTGGAGTTACACAGCGTCCCTCCAGAAAAATATGTCTTCCTACTCTCGTAGGTGGCTCCAGCCCCGGCCCTGGCTGGGTCTCCCGGACGTCTGGGGCCTCCCCACTCCGCAGCCAGCCCGGAACAAGGCGCGCGGGAACGAGTATCAGCCGAGCAACATCAAGCGCAAACACAAGCACGGCTGGATCCGGCGCCTGAGCACGCCAGCAGGTGTCCAGGTCATTCTTCGTCGCATGTACAAGGGTCGCAAGTCGCTGAGCCATTGAGAAGCGCGATGTCATCCGCGGGACCTCCATTAAAGTGCTTCCTTTTCCTCGGACCTCTTGTGGCGCTTTTTTTTTTTGCGGGGAGGAGGGACGACTCGCACATGAATGCTCTCCAAATTTTAGGGCTGGCCCAGGAGGAGGAGAGGATTTAGGGTGAGACTGGAAGAGGGCTGGAGTCAGACCTTGCCAAATACTTTTTGATTTTGAATTAGGTAGAACTTCTAACATACACAGTAGTCCACGAAATTGTACAAGGAATGAATGGTACCCAGCCCTGACCACAAGCAACCCGCGACCTATCCTAATCCCTTCTGTGTTAATTTTATTACAGAGCTCAACATCTTTTAATTTGTTCTATAAGTAATTTAAAATATAGTCCTTGAAGATAGGGATTCATAATCTCAACACTTACCACACTTAAAAAATTACCCATAATTCTTTTTTTTAATTGTGATTTGGGTGAAAATTTACAGAGCAAATTCACTTCCCATACAGCAGTTTACATACACTTTGTCTCAAGACATTGACTACAATTTACCACAGTGCAACAGCTCCCCTCCCACTTCCTCCTGCTAGTTACCTCTTCCCTGTGTCCAACCCACCATGCACTCCTGCCCCATGAGCTGTCTCCCTGTGCATAAACAGCCCTTTTTTCTCCCAAGATTGTTATCTCCAAGGAGTGTATTTACTTCAGATAAATGTTCAACTCATATGCCTGTCTTTTGTTTGGTTGGAAGTTACAGGCATGGGTTCAATTCCAGACCTGAAGGGCAGCTAGGGGCCATAGTCTCAGTAGTTCCATCAGGCTCTATCAGACCAGCAAACCTGGTTCATCCCTTCCTCTTTTTTTCCAAATGATTTTGAGTTTTGTTCCACATTATTTTCCTTCTCTATCCAGGATCTCCTACGTAGATCCCCCTCCGAGTGGTTGACAGTGGTAGCTGGGAACCATCTAGTTCTGGTCTCACAGTTGTATAGGCTGCAGATGGCATAGTATACTAGTTGGAAAAATTACCCATAATTCTTTAATGCCATTAAACGTCTAAGATATTCAAATTTGCACTTGTTTCATGTACGTCTGGTAAGGAGAGAATGTTGGGGAGTGTTGTCTACTCTCTCCTAGAGGATGGGCTGTGAGACCTTGTACAAGGCCATGGCCCTCTGAGGGTCAGGTGGCTTCTATGAAATGAGGTGCTTGTATCTCCTTTGCTGTTTTGTTGTTGGAGTAATATTACAAATGGCAGCTCCCACTTAGTAACTTATCCTAAGTGCCGGGTACTTGACAGGTTCTTGCTTTCACGTGGCTATCAGTCTGGTGGGAGGAATGGATTCCTACCCAGGCAGTTTGGACATGGTGGGGGTCAAGGCTGAGAGATGGGATTGTGGGGACTCTGAGAAGAGGGAGCCCATGGGGTCTGACTTAATCTTGGAAAAAATGCAGTCAGGGGAGGCTTCCTGGAGGAGGTGATAGGCACTGACAGCGCCTGAGGGAATTTGACATTAGGAGGAGTGACAAAGAAATTGTAGCCATGGAGCTGCTACTGGATCTTCAGGTCTGTGGGGAACCCTGGGATGTGTATGAGCCAGAAACTAGTCAGTTGAAAGATCTTCAAGCAGCAGGTGTGGGAGCGGTCTAGAGGTGTCGAAACGCAAAGTTGGGATCTAGAGTAGCAGGTTGATGGGATTACGGTCCGAGTCTTCTGGGGCTGCTGTGACAACCCGTATTTAGGGGTTGGGAACAGGGTTCCTGCGTAGCGAAGACTCAAAAAAGAAAGTATCTGCAAACTTCAGGAACTACAATTCCCAAGAGCCTTCGCGCCGCGGCCTCCGCCTACTTCCGGATCCTCCCTTTGCTTCCAAGTCCCGGGAGGGGTTTTGCGCTTTCAACCGAACCTGACACTAAAGATTGGGGCGTGACTTCGCCAGATATGGCCAATGGGAGAGCGTGAAATCTGCAGATCGCAGGGATGGGGCTAGAAAGCGGACCAATGACGGGGACCGGCAGCGCCATCAGAGTGGGCTGTGCTGTGGCTGGAAGTTACTGTGCGGCGGCGGCTGAGAAGGCGGCTGTGGTGGCGGCGGCGGCAGCGGCTGAGGAGGTGGTGGCGGCGACGGCGACGGCGGCGACGGCGGAAACAGAAGATGGTGAGTGCGGTCGTCGGGCTTGTACCCTCCTCCGGGCGACAAAATGGCGCCGCTAGCCGACCCCCTCCCTGTAACTCCCGAGGTCCCTCATCGCCTGGCCCGGCCCAGCCCCCTCAGGGCCGGCCCCTTATCTCGCACTCACCTATGACCTTCGACCCCCAGACCCTTGCACACGCTTCCTGCTGCCCTCACCACAGTTCCGTCCCCAACCCTTATCCCTTCTAGGCTTTTAGGCCCTGTCATCTCATTCATTTCCGGGTCGCGGCCCCTCCGGAAGTCGCTTGGGATGGATATGGGGTCCACTGAGACCCCTGTTCCAAGGCCTCGTTCTCGGCACGCTGGGCCTGGGTCTCTCCAGTTCAGGACAGTCTAGGAAGCTGGCCTGGTGGTCGTGGTGGGGGAAGGGGCTTGGCATCGCGACCTGGCAGGGCCGTGTCGTCAATGGAAGTGCGACACCACGGGCCGCTTTGGTCGCCCAGGGCCGGATCTCCCACTCCCACCGTTTCGGGTCCACCTGCACCTAAGAGGGAACGGTTTCATCTTTCGGATCCTGGGGCCTCGTCCGTGTTAAACGGAAATGACCATGGTCCGGACCTCAGAGAGTTGTCATCATTTAGGGACCTGACGTCGGAAAAAGCTCACGACCGCGACTGCTCAACAGTCTAGTTGTCGGGGCTGGTTACATCCTCCCTAGCTATCTTCTTATTCTGAAATGGAGATAGATAAGAATAGTGCTGACTGGTAGTTGGGAGGCTTAAATTTCTTCTGTGCTATTCCAGCACCCTGCGATTTGGGTCTGATGGGTGTTTGAAGTTCAGCTCCCTATAAGGAGAGCTGATTACCTGGCCCTAGAGATGTGCTGAAGCCTCCCACCCAGCACTGTTGGGCATCCTCATGGTTGACAGGGGTGGCGAGGGGTTTCTCAGTGCAAGTTAGAGCCTTGTTGCCCCCTGACATAGGGTTGCACGTCACGTCTCAGTGTGGTAGGGATTGGGCAGAGGAGGAGGAGATAAGAAAGCCAGGGCCACCCTTGATTCCTCCCTGCGACTGCATCCCCCACAGGCCATTCACAAGAGTATTCTGTTGATTTTGCCTCCGGAATACACCCTGGATCTGGCCATGTCCCCCCACCCTGATCCAGCAGGGCTACCTCCCATCTGGCTGCCTACGCCAGGCTCCTCTCTGGCCTCCTTGCTTTAGTCCCACCCTTGTTATTAGTTGCTGTCAAATCGTTTTTGACTCGTATGACACGAAGTGGTTAGAGAAGAACTGCATCCCGTAGGGTTTTCAAGGCTGTGACCTTTTGGAAGCAGATCACTAGACCTTTCTTCTGAGGTGCTTCTGAATGGGTTCACACTGGCAACTTTTCAGCTAATAGCCAAGTGATTAACCATTTGAGCCACCCACAGACTCCCATTCCCACTTCTGGCAGTTTGTAATTCACCCAGGGACTAGAGGGAACTTTTAAAGACATAGTCAGATTATACAATTTTTCTAATAGAACACTCCTGGGTCTTCTTTTTGTAACCTGGGTGAAACCCCATCTCCCCCTTGGGCCCACAAGGCTCTGTGTGGCCCATCCCCTGCCACCTTTGTGACCTCATCTCCTCTGTGATTGCCCCTGGGAGCCCCAGCCACACTGGCCTTTCTTCTCGTCTTATCTGCTAAGTCCTTGCCACTCCAGGGCCTTTGCATCTGCTGCTCCTGTCTGGAATGTTCTTCCTGTGATGCTACTTCCTTAGGGAGGCCTGTCCTGACTGAGAGCATAATGCCCTTCCTCTCCTGGCCCACTATTGCTTCTTATCCTCCTTGGGCAAAGCTGAGTCTGGCTTAGTAAATGGTGGATGGCCCATGTGGTGCGGATGGGTACACAGATATTTGTGGCATCTGTTGAGGAAATGATGACTGGGGTTTGACTGGTTCCAGCAAAGGTGTCCTCTTCTCTCAAGGCCTTGTTCTCTATTACCCTATACTCCCACTCCATTTATACCTTCTGAACAAACACGGTACTGACAGCTACCCTTCAGAGCTCTGCTGGCTCTGTAGGTTGTATCCTGGAAACTCAACAGAGCTCTGAGAAGTGGACCCTGTTTCATGGGAGGCAGCAAAGCTGGGAGATCCCTCGTTCTAGTCACACAGCAAGGAAGGGGCTGAGCCAGGGCTGAGTGGCCCATGCCAGCCTGGCCAGAGGCCCAGGTTGAGTCAGCCCTGCCCTGCCCTCTGCCCTCCACCCTTAGGATGTGCCAGGGAGGGAGGTGGGCAGGTCTGCAGGTGACCATAGCAAGGTGTGAGTCTCTTTGGCTGAGGTTTCTGAGGTGTGGGAAGAGGGAAGGGGGGCGGTTTGAGCCATTCTTAGCTGGGGTTGAGGGGTGATTAATGCATGTTTCCCCTGTGGAGAAAGGGAATTCCTGGAGGTGGCACAGAGCTGGTGTTGTGGCTAGAGTCTAGAAGGGGCAAGACAGGCTAGAGACTGAACTGGGTCCCTAGGGGCTATGGAGGGTTCTGAGCAGTGTAGGACTGGAACAAGGACCCCTCCTCACTCTTTAGGTCTCAGTTTATATACTCAGGCTGGCCAGGCCTTAACCCCCTGCTGCCCTGGGGTCTCCCTCTTGCTACCACATCCTTGAGGCCACTTACATTCACTGGTGTGGTTCTCTGGCCCACATCTGTGCTCCACCCAAAGAAGGCACCTGAAGCCAAAAGCAGGTCTGTGATGGCTCCCCCAGCACCTTGCTGCATAGGTGGAGCCTGAGGAGAACGAGTTGATGGGGTGAAGTCGCTCCCTTCATCTGGGCTGAGCTGGGACTGGAGCTTTGCAATGGGGAGGCATGTTTGAGGGACCTCGAGGTGGCCTTGGGTAGTGGAGAGTATGAGTGTAAGCTGCTGCAAGGTAGCCGGGACCCTCTACACTCCAGCCACGGACCCTGGACAGGCCTCATGGAGACAGGACATCACTGCTCCCACCTGCCCTGAGGAGGGTAGGAGACCCCCTGCACAGCATCACCCCACAGGCGGGTCTCCAGGCCTTGGGGCAGAAGTACGCACCAAAGGTGCTAGCCCCTCATCCAGCCTAGTCCTAGAGCCCTTGCTTTTCAGACAGGGAAACTGAGGTACTGGCGGGGCACACAACAGGAGCAGCGTGGCCTTGAAGTGCGTAACCACAGACAAATGACATGTGATCGCTTTGCCTCAGTTTCTCTGTCCGTGTGATGTATAGCACCAGTTCCCGCCTTGTCAGGAACTGTGTGGTGAGGCATTCTGGAAGTCCCCAGCCCCAGGCAGAGATATAGGGAACCTCACACGGATACTCCACTCACTGGCCTGCCCCGTCTCACCTACAGCTCCGAGCTCTCCAGCTCTGACCCTTCCCAAGGATCCAGGACACCTCCCTGCACCCTGGTTCACTTTGCCTCAGTTTCCCAGAGGTGGTCTTGATTCCTCCCGCTTGGTGGCCAGGGCTCTGTGCAAGGCAGATACTCATCCTTACCCAGAGTCAGGGGCCTTTCCACGCCAGGGTCCCTCACAAGCTGAGGCTTGTCAGATGTTGGGGCAGATACCAACCTTTCAGCTAGTAGTCCAGCACTTAACTGTTTGCACAATGCAGAGACTCCTTGTCTTAGAATGGGTAAGTCTTTCTCCCTCCCCAAGTCTCTGTCAAACATGAACTAATAGAAACTTGAACCGAGACAGCCTTGTGTTCCTAGGCATTAATATGTTAACACTGTGAGTGCACTGAGGGCAACCAGGGTTCCCTCCTCTTATAGACAATCTCATCTACCAGGGCCCAGGGGCTTGGAGGGGGATGGTGGAGTCTGACTGTCCTGGGCTTGAGTCTTCTTTCTGCTGCTAATGCCCTGTGGGACAGTAAGCAAGTGATCTGCCCTCTCTAACCTTAGTGTCCTCACTTCTCACGTGGTAACAGGCTGTTGCAGGGACCCTATGGGAGAGGCCATGTGATGCACCTACTGCCACATGGGTTGATTTTTTGAGTCATGACATGTCCATGTTGGGCGGCCAGTTCCAAGATCCATTCTGGAGAACTCAAGCAAGAAAGAAAAGGAGAGATAAGTCCAGTTACTGCTCAGTTGCTGAGGGCCTGGCTTCTCACGTGCCCTTTTCTGTGTCTTTTAGGCCGATTTTCTGAAAGGATTGCCCGTCTACAACAAAAGCAACTTTAGCCGATTCCATGCTGACTCTGTGTGTAAAGCTTCGGTGAGTGTGTGTTTGGTGGCTGCAGAGGTTGGGGGGCTACCGGATGGGAGGTGGCTTGTGGGGGACATGCACCTCCTGAGCAGGGCCTTGGCAGAAATGGAGGCTGCTCTATAAGCCCAGCCTCACCTGAATTCCTACCGGGCCACCCACCCTGTGAAGGATGCAGGGACCTAGGTCTGTCACACTTTTTTTTTTTTTTTGAATTGTGATTTGGGTGAAAGTTTACAGAGAAAATTCAACTTCCCATACAGCAGTTCACACACATGTTGTCTCATGACATTGACTACAATTTACCCCAATGCAACAGCTCCCCTCCCACTTCCTCCCGATAGTTACCACTTTCCTGTGTCCATCCCTCCATGCACTCCTGCCCCCTGAGCTGTCTGCCTGTGCATAAACAGCCCTTCTTTCTTCCATGATTGTTCTCTCCGAGGAGTGTATCTACCTCAAAATGTTCAACTCATGTGGTCTGCCGCACTGTTAACCAACCCCTTTTTGTCTTTCCATAGAACCGACGTCCGTCAGTCTACCTGCCCACACGAGAGTATCCATCTGAACAAAGTAAGTGGCCTCTGCCCATCCACCTCTTCCAGCCTGGCTGCCCAGGAGTGGGGCACAGAGGCTGAGTGGGCACAAGATTCTGGGTGCCATCAAGCCCCCGTCCAGGCCATGGACTCGGCTTGGGTTCACACCAGGGTGACTGCGTCTGGGGGCCTGGTAGGCAGGGGCTGTGAAGGAGGTGACTAAAGAGCCTCTGTGAGGGGTGCTGGCTGGTGTACATGCAGAAGACTTGGTCCGTTCCTGCCTTTGGGGATACACAGACTTCAAAGTTTCGATGTGCTGGATCAGGCCGAGTTCCATGTGGCACCTGCAGTGCCCTCTCTTCTGCCCGTATAGCACTGACGTTGCTTGCTGCCCCCACATTTCAACTCAGGTGTCCCCTGTGCAGTCTCCATGCCCAGAAGGTGGGATCATTCAGACCAACCATCCCATTGGGCAGGGCAAGAGGAGAGGGTGGCTGGGGAGACAGGGCTGCCAGGTGGAGAGCCACATGGGAGGTCAGAACCCACAGGGCAGAAGGGCCCCAAGGTGGTTTGTCATGGTGGTATCTTTTCACTTTGAATGGAAATATTTCCAGACCCTCTGGGTTGGGCGTTAGTGTCTGTGGGTCAGCCACGTACAGTAATGTTCCCATTGGCATGGGCCTGTGAGCCAGGGGCCTACTTCCCTGCCCAGGGAGGGGACCCCACCTGCAGCACTGATGGCTGACAGGGCAGCTGGCTCAGGCCCCTAGTGGTGACAACTCTGGCTTTTCTGGAAATCTCAAGGAAGGCCACCCTACCAGCTGTAGGGTGTGCATCCCCCTTGATGAGCACCCATCCTGGGAGGGCTGCTGCAGGCAGGGATGGCACGGGGCCGCCTCAGCTGCTCCTATGCCGCCTCAGCTGTCCCCATGCCACCTCTCCTGCAACTTTCTGTCTTTCCTCCTCAGTCATCGTGACAGAAAAGACAAATATCCTCTTGCGCTACCTACATCAGCAATGGGACAAAAAGGTGAGGCCACGGGGTCCAGGTTCCAGGACTGGGAGGACCGGGTACTTGAGTGGGGCTTTGAGAGCTGAGTAGGAGTTCACCAAATGCTCAGGGAGTGGGAGGAGCATCCCAGCTTAGGGAAGAGCTGTGCTGAACTGACCAGGCTCCAGTGCTTGGGGAAGGGTGCGGCGGGCTGGGTGACCAGGTTGGAGGCCCACAGGGAGCAGGTGATGGCAACTTCAGTCCACACAGGGGAGTGCAGCTGCAGTGAAAAGTCTCCCTTCTGAGGGCCCTCAAGTGCCACCTACACACATACACACAGTCCCTTTCTGGGACTGGAATTTTTCTTTTTTTTCCCACTGAAAGTCTACATTTTTCTACAATATGGTTAGCTTATTTTTTCACCTAAGGGTGCATGTGGGACAGTGAGATTCAAGTGAGGTTATTCAGTGGCCCTCTGATGAAGGGACACTCAGAAGACATCCTGGCCTCCCACAGTGGGAAGAGGGCAGTCCCTAGGTATCCTCAGAGCAGTCGAGCAGCAGCCTCACACTGGGCGGGGGCTGTCCCACACCATGATGAGCATGTGAGCACCTGTCTCAGGCTTTTGGCCCTGGGGAGCTCTGGGGGGACCGTTGGGTCTGGGGGTCGGTTGGTGGCTTCTGAACCAGGGCCAGGTCATGCATGGTCCTGCTCACCACCTAGCCTCACAACCCCAGCTGGGCCCCCTGTACCCAGTAGAGCCTCTATTTCCTCATCTGCATTTGGGGGTCCTGCCTGGGCTTAGGTTGGGATTTTGGGGGCTGTCCTGACTCACAGCCCCTCCCCTTCTGCTCTCCAGAACGCTGCCAAGAAACGAGACCAGGAGCAAGTGGATCTAGAGGGCGAGAGCTCGGCACCTCCCCGCAAGATCGCACGGACCGACAGCCAGGACATGCACGAGGACACTTAAGACTTGCACTGCCCTTACCGCACCTCCTGTCGTGTCTGCTCTGTGCCGTGCGTCCGTGCCTGCCCTGCCCCACCCTACCCACCCTGCCCACACCGCGCCATCCACACTGCGTCCACCCTCCTAGGAGCTGATGTATTTATTTTCCTCGAGTTTTTATTTATGCTGTAAAGTGTACCCAGCAATGGTTAAAGCGGACGTCAGACCCCGTAGCGTGATGTTGGTAGATGCTTTTAAAAAAAAAAAAACAAACAGTTGTTACTTTCCCTCCCCAACCCCTCCCCTCCCCGCCCAGTTCTCCTCCTCACAAATGAGCGTGTGGCTGAGAGGGTGGGAGCAGGGGTCCCGGCCTCCTGGCTTGCAGGGACAGCCAAGCAGCCTTCTCCCATCTTCCTGGTTGCCAGCCAGGCCTTTAAGATGTGGCCTGGTCTGGCGTTCCACTGGGAACCCTTCTGTGCCCTGGTCAGACCTCGTCACTGAGTGTGCTCGAGGGGGCAAAGGAGGCCCTTCTGGAATTTTCAGTCATTTTATCATGGACTAGTGCGTGCTCCGTGTCTACCCCAATAAAAGGATCTTTCCTATCTGACCTTGCGTCTTTGGGAGGCGTCCGATCGCCACCAAGAAGAGCCGAAAAGGGACCCTCGCCATTGCTGGGGACCAGCTTGACTTCCGTGGTCCCGCTGTGGCTGCCTTGCTCAGAGCCAAGACCTGCCAGACCTGCTTCTCTACCTCACCTGCCCCAGGTGACCCCGTGGACGGAGTTACCCTGGAAACAGTCCATGCCCCCGAGGACACAGCTGTGGCCAGACAGCATTCCTAGGACAGTGCTGAGCAGGGTGGCAGCAGAAACATGCCTGTGTACTTGCCTGCTTAGGGCAGCGCCCAACAGAGTGACAACTGCAGATAGTGTCTGTCCTCCACGCCCTGTGGTCAGAGAGAAGGCCTGCCCCATGCAGTGCCTGTTATGGACGTGGGCAGCAGTGACCCCCTCCTCAGCTAGAAGGGCTGACTGAGAGACTTGGGGGCTTTCAGGCCCCAGGCTCAGAGGAGAAGGCTCCTGCAAGGCTGGGGGTGGCGCCACTTCTGCCTGCTTCCCCCAGTGGGGACAGTGGAGAGGGTGTGCCACAGTGGAGGCTGTACACTCCTGGCTGGGAGGAGTGTACACTCCAGGTTATCAGTGTCAGGGGCCTGGACTGCCAGCTCTCCAGGAAGGGTGGTTCTGGGTCCCCCAAGGCTGACCTGGCCAGCCAAACCCAACCCTTGGTGTTCCCTTCACACTCAGGTGTGGTACCTGGGCCCTGCGGTTCTACTGGTGTGCCCATGGAATGCAGAAGGCAAACCCCGGCCGCTCTCAGCAAGAGGGCTAGAGCTTACTGGAGGTGCTCAGACTGGAGTCTTGGGTCAGTCTGATCCCGGCAGGCACATAGTGATTGGGAAGACAGGGGCAGAGGAACAGGGTCAACCTTGACCACCTCAGCTTCCCAGTGGCCCTGCCAGTCCCACATCCCAGTTTGAGGTCTCCTGCTGCCATCCATCCACGGCTTGGCTGCTCCTAGGACTGATTCAAGAGGGCCATGCTAACAGAGGCCTCCCTGTGGCCTCACTACTGGGAAGGTAACAGTTGAATCTGAGCCTGCCCCTACTCACATACCATCTTTGGCTCCCACTGTCCTTAGGAGAGTCCATGCCAGGCTTGGCACCCCTCTCTGCCTCTCAAGATCTCCTTACCCCTGTGCTAACCCCACCACACTGCCTCCCACACCTCTGTGCCTTTGCACAGGCTATACACTCAGCCTTAGTGAACTCAGGGCCCTCCCCAAGGGTCCCATTCTTCCCGCCACCTCCTTCTAGCCTACTGCTGGGCACTGGCCACAGCAGGCGTGGAGTCCTTTGCCTTTGGGTGTGGACTGTCCACTTTTTACGCGGATGGTAAGGGTCAGAGGTGACGTTATCATTTCGACATGGGTAGGGGATGACCGCACGTCTGTCCAGGGGGACCCTGCTGCATCATCCCTTCCCCATGCCATCCTGCCTGGGGCCTTCTGTGTCATCCCTTCCCCATCTCGCCTGGTGCCTTCTGACTCCATACCCCACATTCTTCCCACTGTCACGGTTCCCAGAGGGCGACCCAGGGAGTGCTGGGATGTGCCACCCCTCCCAACCCCCCATCTCTTACCCCGCCAGAGGACCACTCACCCCCCTCCACCCTCCTCTGCTGATCTGACCCAAACTGCCTTCTTTTGGCAACTTGACCTTTCTCCTTGTCTGGGTGGCTTCTCCCAGGGCCCCAAGGCTGAGGCCGCCCGATCTGGGCCGTCTTATAGATAGCAGTGGCCTCAAATTTTCTATCTGTGGCCCCATCCCAGTTACAGGGAGAGGCCCAAGTGTGGCCTGGCGCCTGTAAGGAAGAGGCACCCACTTTAGCCCCTTCTGTGCGTTGACCCTGGGCACTGTTGAAATATACTTTTTATTGCATTTCTGCCGTTTTACAAAAATATGACAAAATAAATTAAAAACAAATAAATAATTACCTATTCTGTGTGTGTTTTCTGTTGGTTTGAGGGGGGTTTTCTTTCATCCCTCCCTCCCAGTTGAAAGGATAACGGCAGATAGGGTGTTCCCAGCCCTCAGAGGGGCGGCTAGCCCTGGGCAGGAGCCCTGGGCAGGTATTGCATATGAGCGCGGCGGGCAGGCGGGCAGCAAACTAGTGCCAGCCACTGGGCCAGCACACAGCCTGGGGGCTTGGGCTGGGCGTGGGATCGAGAGACTCGGGGTGCTCCAAGGCGAGCGGCGGCGGGGGCGGGAGGCTGTAGAAGCTGGTGTCCCCTGGCAGGGGTTGTGGGGCGAGCGGGGGCCCAGCGTGGGCACAGGGCGGGCACTCCGCGGCAGCGGTGGCGGGGAGCTGGCGGGGGGCGGTGCCTTCGCCCCCACAGCCCCATGGCCCATCCCACTGCCAGCAGCCGGTGGGCGGCGGCGTCGGGGGCCTGGGTGGCGGTGGCGGTGACGGCAGCGCAGGGCTCCGGCTGCTGCGGGTACGGAGGGCAGGGGCGCCCACGAGGGCCAGCGCTGTCCCTGCGGAGGCGAGAGGGGCCGTTCCGGGGGGGTGCCGCCTGCGCCGCCGGACCCAGGACCCTGCCCGCTCTCCCTCCCGGGCACACAGGCACGTCAAGGCCTTATTGCTTCTGGTTGGAGGCCGGGTGGGGCGTCTTCGGAGCACCCCCTGCCTCTGGGCACTGAGGACAGTCTGGGAAAGTCCCTCCTGACATCTGACCTAAGCCCCTTGCGCTGCTGTTTCCACCTCTAGGGCTCCTAGAGGCTGGGGTGAGGCGGGAGAGGTAGGGTTCCTGCAGGGGCTGTGAGGCCTGCCCCTCGGCTTGGTGTGAATGAGTGCAGCCTGTTGCCCACGGCCTAAGGCCCTGTGTAGGCGGCTCCAGCCCGGCTTCTGAGGAATGGCTCTGGGGAGAGGATTTGCATAGAGGCTAGGGGGTCTAGGCCCCCTAGAGTGAGCTGGGTGTGGGGACTCGTGGTAATGGTGTGTGGGGGCTCCCCAGGAGGGGTGCTCCGACGAGGCTTTGGCATCCTTCCCAAAGAGGGTCAGGCGCAGGGCTCCCAGATCTAGAGGGTCCCCAGAAAGACTCCACGCACCACATCCCCAAGTCCCTAAGGGGCACCACAGACTGGGGCCGCCTCTGTCCCCAGGCCCAGCCACCCCCCAGCCCCAAAGCCAGGCCCAGCATCCCCACCCCCGAGTTAAAGCTTATGACCTGAGCCTTCCTCTTCGGGCCGGGCGGCTTCCGGCTCCTCTGCCGCGGCCTCGTCCGCCGACCCACTCCGTTGGGGCCGGCCACCGCTGCTGCTGCCGGGGATCCCATCCGGCCGGGCCGGCCCGCCCGCCCCGTTGGCCCCGGCCTCGGCCCGGGCCCCGCCAAAGGGGAAGAGCTTGCCGGCGTGGAAGGCTTTGGGCGGCGAGTGGCTGCGCTGCTCTGAGTCCCGACGGGTCTCGGGCGACTTGAGGAACTTGAAGCTCAGGAAGGCGGGCAGGCGGGTGTCGCTGCCCGTGGGCGACTGGGCGGTGGCCGGCCGGGCGGTGGGGCTGGTGCCCGCGCCAGCCGGTGAGGCTGCGGCGCCCGAGGACAGGAACTTGCCCTGCAGCGGGATGATCTGCTTCAACTTCATGACGTTGTTGGGCGCCAGCAGCGATCCCGGGCGCTTGGGCCGCTCGGCGTTGTGGCCGCCCGCCCCGCTGCCCTTGGCCTTGGCCGAGGCCTTCTCGGGCGCTGCGGGGTCCAGCCCGGAGCCCTCGGGCCGTGACTCCTCCCGGCCGCCGCTGGCGCCAGCGTCGCGCTCCCGCCGAGCGTGATGCTCTGCGTGCCGCTGCCGCTCCTCCTCCTCCCGCCGCCGCCGCTGCTGTTGTTGGTAGTGGTGCTGCGCCTGGCGCTCGTGCTTCTGCGGACAGAGCGCACGCTGTTACCGGGGAAGGCGCCTGAACCTGGCGTCACCCGCCGTCCACACAGGTGTGCACTGCATAAGTTGGAGAAATTTAAACACCCAGGCCCACAGTGGGTAATTTCTGTGGATGTAGGAGAGATTTAAACATTTATTGGGCACCAACTGAAGTCCCAGACCTTACACCAACACCTTTTGCTGAAGTGGGAAAGATTTTAAGCACTGTTTGGGTAATAACTAAGGAGCTCTGGGGGGGGGGGGCAGTGCCTAAAACATTTGACTGCTAACCAGAAGGTTTGCGGTTCAAACCCACCACCACTCTCCAGAAGGAAGATGGGATAATCTACTTCCCTAAAGACTTACTGCCTTGGAAACCCAATGGGGGTCACTATGAGTCAGCATCGACTCAACTGCAGTGGGTTTGGGTAATAATTGGATCACCTAGCCCACACTGGGCACTTTCTGTGGCAGTGGAGGAGATTTAAGCACTTACTGGGTGCCCATTGGATCCCCTGACCCACAGTGGATGTCTTGTAGGAATCAATAAGAGAAGGAGCATTTACTGGGTTCCCACTCTGTCCTTGGCCAAGAGCCAGGGACTGGGAGAATTCAACCAAACATTGGGCCTCAACTGGTCTTATGAGGCAGCGCCTTTCTAGAGTAGAAAGTACTCCTTCGGGGCTACCAAACTGGACAGCACAGCTACAGAATATTTCATTGTGGTAGCAAGTTCCTTTGGGTGGTGCTGGTGAGCTCCTTGGCCCACCTGCAAGCTTTCTGAGGCAGGAAGAGGCTGGACTTCTGGAAACATCAGCTGTGTGCCTGATCCTAAAGCAGACACTGACAGGTGGCTGGCAGATGACTGGGTACTCACAAGGACCAGCTCTGTGCCAGCCCAACGCTAGATGTCACTGGGAATTCCGGAAGGGACTGGTACATTGGGAACACTAATTGTGACACCTCCGACACACTGGCTTCATGCTTGCCCTGGGGCCAAGGACTCAGCCACCAAGATCCGTCTGTCTTTGTCACCTGTCATGAGGGGAGGAAGAGACAAGCCCCACTGAGTGGGGCAGAGGGTGACACTAAGGCTGGTCTGGCCCACATACCTTGAAGGCCTCCCGGCGCTGGTACTCGAGCTTGGCCATCTCTTCGGCCACCCAGCCAGGGATGTTGGGGATGGCCACATGGATGAGGTACTTGAGCAGCAGAGCAAAGTGCTGCAGTGAGAGAGAGACACTGGCTGCAGAGTCCAGGGACTCCAGCCTACCCACCCCTAGGACCCTAGCCTGTCCACCAGCCCCACCTCGAGCACCACCAGGGACACAATGGCTGCCTCCGGGCTGAGCCAGGGGAAGAGGCGCTGCAGCTGCCCGCACTGGCCGATCAGGTAGCAGTTGACCACGATGGCCAGGACGCCCATGGCCTCCATCACCTTCTGTGGAGTGGTAGGGGAGGCGGGGTTTCAGGCCGCCTACCCCTCCCTAGCAGGAGCCCCCCCCTCCATGCCACGCCCTCACACCCCCTCTGCACCTGCCACTGGCCAATGCTCTCTACACGCTGCCCAAAGGGCCGCTGCAGACCCGTGCACAGCTTGAAGGCATCGCTGCGGATCTCGATGAGATTGTTGACGAGGGCGCAGAGTGCGGCCAGCGGGAAGGCCGAGGAGAAGAGGACGACATAGCCAAACTGCACGAACATCTCCTGGTAGTCCTGGAAGGTGTCCTGCAGCAAGTGGGTGGGCAGACAGCCTGTCAGACCAGCATGCCTCCTTTCTTGGACCATCTTTCTCTCATCAAGCTCTGGGCTTATGTTTGCCCCCTTAGGATGATGCCCCCGGTGGACCCAGAGCTCTCCCTCCCCTTGGCCTCCTCCATCTGACTATGTGATAGGAGTGTGTAGACTGACCCCTCCTGCCGGCTCCCACCAAGTCAAGAGCCCTGGTAACCACCCCAATGACTGCCAACCTTGGATTACATGCACATCCCCATTTTGCCTCCACCCTACTCAAAGCGACCCCTACTGGATTTCCAAGGCTGTACAGAAGTAGATTGCCTCATCTTCCTCCTGCAGAGCAGGTTTGAAATGCTCTCTCCCCTCTTCCTTTAGACTGCCCAGCCTCCGCCCTCTGCCCACGCCCCCTCACCCCGTAATTCTCTTGCCCGCTTCACCTCGTATTTCTTCATGCAGCTCTCCAGCTCAGCCTGCGTGAGCTGGGGTGAGTGCTTCTCCTCTGGCGGGTCAATCCAGGACGCCCGGTTCTGTCGCCTCTGCTGGCGAGCTGAGTCACCTGTGCCCTGCTCAGTTTCCAGGCCACCACTGGGACCCTGGTCATGGCCCTCGCCCCCAGCCTGGCGCAGCAGCACGCTGGCAGGTTCATGGTCAGGACTGCCAGGGGCACCCTCAGCCTCGTCGTCGTCCTCAGCCAGCGTGAACACACCAGGCTCCAACCCCTTCTCCACCATGGTGGGGCTGCCCTCCTCCAGCAGTGCCTCAGGGCTGGGGCCCCGGCGCCGCCCAGTGCCCCGCTCAGCAAAGCTGACCTTCTTCAGCCGCAGCCCGCAGTCCAGGAGGCCGCCATCCTCCCCCTCCTCGTCCTCCTCATCCTCGTCGTCGTCATCGTCCTCCTCCTCCTCCACCTCTCCTGGGCCTCCCCGAAACCCATCACCCTCCTCCCCGCCTTCCCCAACTGGCCGCCGCTCCACCGTCGCCTCCTCCTCCTCCTCAGGTGCTCCACAGCCCCCACGGAGACACCTACGGCCCCCCACACCGCCACCACCAGCCCCCTCATCAGCCTGGGGTTCGAGGTGGTGAGGTGCAGGGCACCGGGGACCCAGCAGGCCCAGCAGGGCTCGGGCCAGCTCCCACATGGCCCGGAGGCCCAGCTCGCCATGGCCCAGCCGCCGGTACAGGTGAGGCTGCAGGACCTCACGCACGTTCTGGAGGAACTGGCGGGTGATGAGCAGGGTGGCCAGCATCTGGGGGCGGGAAGGGGGCAAGAGCAGCTGCGTGGAGGGCAAGCGGGACCAGGCACCAGGCAGCCCCCAGCACATACCCAGAGGCCCCATATTCAGGCACCAAAGCTGCCAGGCACAGGTTTGCATCTCAGCAACCCCAGGGCCTTTGCACAACCTGCTGCCTGCCCCACACCCCCACTGAGCTCAGGCTGCAACACAGCTGCACTGGTTAGTCCCTGTGCTCCGCCCCCTTGATGCCCACCCGTATTTTGGCCCGGGCTGCTAGCAGGAGGCCCCGGAGGGAGAGAAGGAGCAGGCGGAACCGCAGGGCTACAAGCGGGACCAGCACTGCCTGCAGCTGCCGCTCGAGGCTCTGGGACAGGGACAGGATGAGCAGGAGCTGTGGAGGGACCGACGGACAGGTGGACGGACAGATGAGGGAAGAGACAGGCAGAGAGAGGACGCACGGACAGAGAGGAGAGAAGGATGGAGGAGGGGAGAAGGGGCTGGGGCCTGGGCTGCCACACGCCCCCTCCCCCACTGTGTGCCAGGTCCCCAGGGCCACCACTGCCCGGCCTGGTGCTCACCTCTTTCAGGCGCTCCATATCCTTGAGGTAGAAGCCAATGTAGAAGAGGCTCAGGTATGAGTTGACAAACTGGAACTGTGGGTACAGATAGCAATTACCCCACGCTGGCCCCCTGCCTCTGCTGCCTGCCCACCCACCTGCACAAGGTCGCTGCTCACCAGGACCACCTTGATGATGAGGTGCTTCTCATAGGCACTCTCCAGCCGGTAGTTCTCTGGGGGCCAAGGGGGTAAGTTAGGGAGTGGCGAGACCCCACGAAGTGGGGACCTTCCTTCCAGGGTAGGTGATGGGATTCCTCCCTCTTGCCAGGCATACCCATGTCATTGAGCCAGATGGCGAGTTTTTTGTAGCCCTCAGCACTGGCACTGACCAGCAGGGCCAGCATGACCTTGGGCAGGAAACGGGTGAGGCGGGGCAGCCCCTTCACATTCAGCACCAGCTCCTGCAGGTGGGGTGTGATCACATGGGTTCCGGCTCAGGGAGGAGGAGGATGAGCGGGGGTCCCAGTTACCCAGGGTTCAAGGTGGGCAGGGGCTCATGGTCACCTGGGGTCAGGGCTTGGGGGCAGGCATGGGTAGGGAGTTGACAGTCATCTGGGGTCAGGGCTAGAATTGGGGGTTAGAGGTTTAGGCAGGGGATTCACAGAATATTAAGGCCAGGGCTAGGGAGGGCTGGGCAGGGGGTGGCCTGGGTCATCTTGGAGGTGAAGGACTGGGCAGGGGTTCTCTGTTGGTCACCTGCAGCTGGAAGCAGCCGAGCATGAGCAGGAAGACACAGGCCAGGCAGGCCAGGCACAGTGGCAGGCTGACGAACAGCTGGAAGAGGAGCCGCTTCCAGGGTGGGTAGTAGAACTCCTCGGCTCTAGTCACCGGGCTGATGCGCCGGATGCCCTGGGGGGTGGGGTGGGGCGGCCAGTGGGAGGCTGGTGCCCAGGGCATGGGACCCTCCACCTGCCCACCCATCCTGATTCTCAGCTTCAGTTTCCTTCACCTCTGTCCTTGCTCCTCCATTACCCCCACCCTGCATGGTCTCTCCATTACTCTAAGGCCTAGGCCCCAACTGACCCTGAACTGGGGTCGTGGTTCCTCCACAGCTTCCCCTGGTGAATCCAGCGTCCCCCACTTGTAGGCGAGCTCTGCTCCCCTCCGCTTCCACTCCTCCAGGAACAACGTGGACCAGACCACGTTGAAGAGGGCAAAGACTACGCAGGACACGTCTCTGCTTGTCTGCGGGGGTGATGGAGGGCCCAGTGTTGATGGAGGGAGTTCAGGGACTATCTCAGTTTCCCAGCCCCCAATCACTGCCCCTGTGTGCACCTGATCGGCCTCAGTGAACGTATACAGCACTGAGCCAAAGACGGCCGGGTACACCATTGCTGACGTGTAGAAGCCCAGCCAGGCGAAGTACATGGCGATCTTCACGCCAAAGTAGTCACAGATGTCATCTGCAGGGGGAAGGGTCCTGGTCAGCCCTGTGTACCTCCCCAACCGCCCCCCCCCCAACTCCTGGGCCTGAGCCGCACCAAGAGGCTGGTTCTCACACACGGCCTGCACCCACGATTTCATGAGGCGGTTCAGGATGCGCTGTTCGTGCACTGGGAACACCTGCTGGATGATTCCACGGGCAGCCAGCTCGGGGACTGTGGGGGCACGAGTGACAGTGATCCCTGCCCCTCTGTCCCCTGTCCACCCCCTCACTGTGCAAACTCAAGTCACAGCTTTTCCCGTGCTTTTAAACCACAGAGACTCTTCCCTGGAGAGGAATTATGGGTGGATAGAATATCTGATTCTCCTGTAAAATTGGGGGCTGCAGGTGCTGGTGGATAAGACAGCAGTGGAATTCGCGAGAGGGGGATGTTCCAGTGTGGAAACATGGTTTTAAAAAAAAGCCCTTGGCGATTTTCAGAGGCCTCAGTCCGCGGTTCTGAAGTGTTAGGTGGGGTGCAAAGTTGGCATCGGAAAATGAGCTTGAAGAGGCTTGTTTTCTGGAGGGGAAACTGAGGCCTAAGGCCCCTGCCACGCAGCACTCGGGGCACTGTCCATGGTCCTACCTTGCCTTCTCAGGCACAGACAAGGCTCCACTGGCCACGCCCCCAGTAGACAAGCCCCACCTTTCTACCAAGGCCCCGCCTCCAGCTGCTATATCGGCCAAGCCCAAAGCTCTGTTCAACTCCGCACTAGCTGATTGGTTTAGGGCCCCGCCCTCCTGCTCCTCTAAGACCCGGTCCCAACCTCCCCCTGGAATTGGAGAATTGGCCCCGCCCTGCTCACTGATTGGCTGGTCCTCCAGGAAGCGCACATTGTGCAGCGCCTCACCCTGCTTGGCGCGCAGGTTCTGCAGCCAGAAACGGATGATGCTCTGGCGCTCCTGCGGGGGAGAGGGCGTGAGGCCAGAAGACAGTAGGCTGGCGATGCAGGCGAGGGGCTGGGAACACGAGCGTAAGGGACGGGGGACACGGAGGATGGTGCCGCGGACAAGAACGTAGAGGGTGAAGGACGTGGAAAGGGGACTGGGGCATGGATAGGGGGCTGGAGACCTGGGGGGTGGGCTAGGGACACGAGTGGAGGACGGGAACACAGGTGGGGGACATGGGCATGAACTGGGATAGGGGGCTGGGGACTGGACGGAGGAGGGGCAGGAGACGCAGGCGGGGTACCAAAGACACTGGTGGGGGACACAGGCGTGCAGGGGCAGCGGGCCGGAAAGGGCGCCGGCCGGTGGCACCTGAGAAGTGAAGAAGCGCAGTTCGTTCTCTACGTTCTCGTAGATGAAGTCCTCCTCGCAGGAGAAGCCACGCATCCCCCCGCCGAACTCCACCTTCACCGCCTTGCGCAGCCCCAGTTCGTCGGCCCCTCGGAGCAGACTGCGCAGAGGAAAATGGAGGCAGGCTCACCGAGGGTTGCTGGCTCCCCAAGTGGTGCCGGCTCACCATCTGGGAGCAGGGATGGTGCACCTGGAGAGGTCACACACGGGGCAGCTGGACAGTGCGCTTGGCGTGTGGAAAGGCAGGGAGCTGGGTAGCAGGGTCGACGAGAGGCCTTGCACCAGGGACTCGCCTCTCATAGGTGGCAGTGACGAAGAAGGCGTAGGCGCGTGTGTGGCGGTGGTGGCGGACTTGCACGATGAGCTCTGGGATGCCCACACGGATGTGGTTCAGCAGCCATAGCAGCGTGTGGTCATCGGTCGTGTCTAGCAAGGGACACAGGGACCGATGGCTCTTGCCACGAAGGGCTCAGCCCTCCTACAGACGCCCGAGCTCACCCTGTGTGGGAACTGGCGGGGAAATGCGGGTACCTGGGAAGGTCATCAGCACGTCGCAGTTCTCCGTGGGCACCGTCTTCATCCACGCCTTGTGGGACACCAGGTAGCGCCCCGCCTGCAGGAGCCGCTTCCCAAAAAGCTTTTCTGGGGGTGGGTAGGACACTGGGTCAGGACACTCCAGACCGGACTTGGCTTCTGCTCACACACCCTCCGGGACTCCCCAGTAATCTGAACCCAACATTCAAGGCCTTGGCTTGTTTTCCTTGTGCCATGCCTTTGTACCAGCCTCCGCCAGGATGCCCTTTCTCCAGGTCTCTTTTACAAACTCTACTGATTCTCAGGCCCAGCTCTGCCTCCAAAGCCACAATTCTGGGGTGCTCACTAGCAGCCGAAAGCACTTCACCACATTATGTCAGCGCTGGGTGAGGCTCTTATCCCCATTTCACAGGTGAGAAACTGAGGCCCAGAGAGGTTAAGCACACTTGACCAAGGTCACACAGCTCAGCTAGGATTCGAACCCGGGACCAGTCTGCGTCCTCTTTCAAGTGCATCCCTACCGGGCAGACCCAATACCACTAACGGCGGAGGAGGTCAAGCCCCACCCCAGCTTGGGACTCTTGGAGGGAGGGAGGAAGGGGCGTGTCCGGGTCTTCACCCTGCGACCTCCACCCGCTGCACACTCCAGCTCCACCCGCCGGGCCGCAACCGCAGTACCGGGAGGGACCGGGCCCCTGTCCTACGGCAGGACTTCAGGCCCGGGACAGCTGACTCCAGCCTTCCCTCCCAGGTCCAGCCGCCGCGCGCACCCAAGGCACCTGCCAACCCTACTGGGGTCCCGCTGCCGCGCACATACCCAGCACACCAGACACAGGGGCTGCTGGCTCGCCTTCGGGTGGGGGCCTCTTGCCGCGCTCTCCCTCTAGGGATGTGCCCCCGGCGGTGGAGGTGGCCTCGGCCATGGCGAGGGCAGGGGTAGGTCAGGGGCTGCTGGCAGCCTAGGTGCCCGGGGGCCGCGGGCTCATGGGGCCGGCGCCGCCGCCGCCACCGCCGAGCGTGCCGGAGGAGGAGACAAAGGCCGCTCCCGCCCGCGCCGACCGCCGTCCCCGCGCGCCGGGGCGCTGCTTCTCGTCCCCGACCGCTTCGAACCTCGTTTCTCCTTGGTGTCGCTCCCGCCCGCTTCACTCTCTGGTTCTCGTCCCCGCCCGTGTTGTTTTCTGGTTTCCCGTCTTGCCCGCCCACTCTCTGGTTTACGTCTCCGCCCGCACCGCATTCTGACTGTCAAGGCCGAAACTTGGCCAAGCCTGTCATGGCCAAGCCTATAAACTTCCACATCTGCAAACTCCTCAGCCCAAAGGCGTGGTTTGGAATCTGTGATAGTAATGATTCGCCTGAGGGAGGATGTGGGAAGGAGGTGGGGCTGGTATGCAAAGATCCAGGAAGATGGAGGTTGTGAACATAATGACAACTACCATAATTGTAGCAAGTCAGGCCTCAGGACCATTGCACGTGCTGAGCTGTTCTCACTGCCTGGGACACTGTCCACCCCCTTGCTACCCAGTTAACCCCTATTTCCTTCATGATGTAACCTCCTCAGAGAGTACCTGCCATAGACTTGACAGATTTAGCAAACAAAAATATAAGTCTCCCCTTTGAATTTCACATAAAGGAATAATTTTTTGGTTATTAATTGCTGTCCAGTGGATTCTAACTCATGGGGACTCCATGTGTACACAGTAGAACTGCTCCACAGGGTTTTGAAGGCTGTGAGCATTCAGAGGCAGGTCGCCAGGCCTTTCTTCCAAGGCACCTCTGGACAGTTTCAAACCATCAACTTTTCAGCTAATAGTCAAGTGTTTAAAAGTTTGTGCTACCCAGGGTACCCAGGGACTGCTAATTTTTTGATAACGTAATCAAACCCGCTGCCATCAAGTTGGTTCTTCTTCATAGTGACCCTGTGTGCGACAGAATGAAGCACTGCCGGGTCCTGCACCATCCTCACAACTGTTGCCATGCATGAGCCCATCATTGCAGCCACTGTATCAATCCATCTCATTGAGGGGCTTCCTCTTTTTTTTTTTTTTTGCCAACCCTCTACTGTACCATACATGATGTTCTTCTCCAGGGACTAGTTCTTGCTGATAACATGACCAAAGTAGGTGAGATAAAGTCTCGCCATTCTCAATTCTAAGGAGTATTCTGGCTGTACTTCTTCCAAGACAGATTTGTTTATTCTTCTGGTCTATTCAATATGGTTTGCCAACACCGTAATTCGAATGCACCAATTCTTCTGTGGTCTTCCTTATTCATTATTCAGCTTTCACATGCGTATAAGGAAGTTGAAAATACCATGGCTTGGTCAGGCGCACCTCGGTACCCACGGTGACATTTTTGCTTTTGAACACTTTAAAGAAGTCTTTTGGATCAGATGTGCACCAGCCGCCCCTCAGAAGGAAGACAGGCAATCTACTTCCGTAGTGGTACTGCCTCAAAAATCCAAGGAGGGGGGTCGCTATGAGTCAGATCCGCCTCCACGGCATTGAGTTTGGTTTGCGTTTTTTTTTTTTTTGAGGGGGTGCCCCAATGTACACATCATTTGATTTCTTCACTACTGCTTCCATGTGTATTGACTGTGGATCCAAGTAAAATGAAATCCTTGACAACTTCAATATTTTTTCTGTTTATTATGATATAGCTTATTGGTCCAATTGTGAGATTTTTGTTTTATGTTAAGGTGCAATCCATACTAAAGGTTGTAGTCTTTGATCTTCATCAGTAAACGCTTTAAGTCTTTTTCACTTTCAGCAAGCAAGATTATGTCATCTGCATATCAGAGGTGGTTAATGAGTCTTCCTTCCAATTCTGATGCTGTGTTCTTTTTCATATAATTCAGTTTCTCAGATTTTTGTTCAGTGTACAGATTAAATAAGGAGTTCTGGTGGCATAGTAAGTAAGGCAATTGGATGCTAACCAGAAAGTTGGTGGTTCAAACCCACCAGCTACTCCGTGGGAGAAAGAGAAGGCAATCTACTTTTGGAAAGATTTACAGCCTGGGAAACACAATGGGGTTTGCAATGAGTCAGAATCAACTCAATGGCAGTGGGTTTGGTTTTTTGGTTTTTATACAGATTGAATAAGTATGGTGAAAGGATACAACCCTAATGTACATCTTTCCTGATTTTAAACCACACTGTATCCCCTTGTTCTGTTTGAACAACTGCCTCTTGATCTATGTACAAGTTCCTCATGAGCACAATTAAGTGTTCTGGGATTCCCATTCGTCACAATGTTGTCCACAATTTGTTACGATCCACACAGTTGAATGCCCTTGCATAGTCAATAAAGCACAGGCAAACATCGTCCTGGTATTCTCTTGTTTCGGCCAACAGCCGTCTGTCACCAGTAAGAATATCTCTTGTTCCACATCCTCCTCTGAATCTGCCTGGAATTTCTGGCAGTTCCCTGTCTATGCAGTGCTGCAATAGTTTTATTTTAAATTACTTTTCAGCAAAACTTTACTTGTGTGTGATATTAACAAAATTGTGTGATAACTTCTGCATTCTCTTGGATTACCCCTCTTTGCAATGGATCTCTTCCAGTCAGTTGGCTACATAGCTGTCTTCCAAACTTCTTAGCATAGAATGAGTGCTCCTAGCATTGCATCCATTTGTTGAAACATCTCAATGGGCATTCCATCAATTCCTGGAGTCTTGTTTTTTACCAATGCCATCAGTGTAGCTTGGACTTCTTCCTTCAATGTCATCTGTTATTGATCATATGCTACCTCATAAAATGCTTGAATAGAAACCAATTCGTTTAGGTACGGTGACTCTGTGTATTCTTTTCATTTTCCTTTGATGCTTCCTGCATTGTTCAATATTTTGCCCACAGATCTATCAGTATTGCATCTTGAGGCTTGAACTTTTTCTTCGGTTCTTGCAGCTTGAGGAATGCTGAGCATGCTTTTCTCTTTTGGTTTTCTAACTCCAGGTCTTTGCACATTTCACTAGAATACTTTGTCTTCATAAGCTTCCCTTTGAAATGGTCTGTTTGGCTTTTTTTAATTTTTTTTTCCTGTTTAACTCTTTTATGTCATCATTTCTTGCATTTGCTTTAGCTGTTCTGTATCTAACAGCAAGTTTCTGAGTCTCTTCTGACATCAGTTTTGGGCTTTTCTCTCTTTCCTGTCATTTTAGTGACCTTTTGCTTTTTTCCTGTGTGATGTCCTTAATGTCATCCCGATTTTTTGATAGGTCTCCAAAATTATATGGGACACCGTCATCCTAAAAAAGTCATTCATCTGAAATTCAAATTTAACTGGGTGCCCTGTATTTTGATCTGCATCCTTACCCCCTGGACCACTCATGGTGTAGCCTCCAGCCTTAGACTGGGAGCTTAGCGAGGACAGGGACCCCGTCTGGGCCTCAGCGCTTAGCACACAGTAGGCGCTTGCTGTATATTTGTAAGAAGTAGGAAAACTCGGAGACAGCGAACGTTGTCCTTTATTCCTATTTGACAGATCAAAAATTGAGGTGGGACGAAGTGAGGATTGGGGGATTCGAACTCTTACCAAACCGGAGCTCCACCGCCCGCTCACCCACTTTGTTCAAAAACCAGAAAATTGATCGCAGGAAGGCGCCCTGGAAGACTCCGCCTAGCCGGGTGCCTGGAATTCCACCATCAGCGCTTTTTTCCGCGGTGCAGGCGCTGTCCTGGGTTAACTTGAAAGTAATCTTCAGGATTCCCCTTTCTGGTCTTCCGTGAGCCCGACACAAATTGGACACCCACAGAGCTGCAGGATTAGGACTCTGACGGGGAGAAGGCCAGGGAAGCCCAGGAAGGAATGTGTGGAGTGCGCCGCAGGGTTTCGCGGGGGAGTAGCCGATTAGAGTTAGGTCGCTGGCGTGAGTCTGTCAACAGTGTAAGGGCATCCGGGCCGAGGTAACTACGGGAGGAAAGGTTTGGGAGGAGCGAGGAAGCTAGAGATTTGGGGATTTTCCCAGATTTTGGACTCTCCCCAGCCATTCAGGCAAGATATTCCCTGGACCAGGTTGTGAGAAGCTCTCAACTTCGGATCTCAACCTGGCCTGAGAAAATCAAACCAAACCCATTGTCATCAAATCGATTCCAACTCATAGCAACTTCACGTGTGTCAGAGTACAACTGTGCCCCATAGGATTTTCAATGGCTGATCTTTGCAAAGTAGAGCTCCAGGCCTTTCTTTCCAGGTGCGTCTGGGTGGACTGGAACCTTCAACTTTTCCGTGAGCAGCGGAGTTCATTTATTGTTTGCACCATCCGGGACTCCTAAAACAGAGATGTGGGCTTCCGGTTCTCTGACAAGAGAACTGAACACACCTAGGTCCTTGCCTCGTCTAAGGCTACGGAGTGGCCCGAGGGAAAATCGGAGCCCTCTTCTCGCTGTCATTTCCACCGTCTCGTGCTGTGTCCTGCCTTTCTTCCCGCCCCTCATTTCCGGTGTCTCGGATCTCTGTTGCCCTAGGACCCTAAAACCTTGTTTTCCTGTCGCCGGGGAACGCCATTTCGCTGCACTCCCGCCCCGCGGTGAAGCTTGAAACAACCAGTAGGAATGAAAATCTGACGTCTGTGGGCGGGATGTCTTTGAAGAAGCCCAGTGGTAATTGAGAGTCGCTGAACGCTCAGCCAGTCATACCGCAAAGGGGGTTGGCCTTCTGCCTGTTCTTGAAGCCGCGCGGAAGAGTTGGCAGGGTGGGCAAGCTGGGTCGCAGGTTGTGAATCCATGTGGCGGGGACTGTGGACCCTGCGGGCTCGGGCGGCACATGGGCTTCGCAGGTGGGGCTTGTGGGGTCACGGCGGGCGGGGAACCCCCACGAGGATGTGTGACAGCTGCTTGGCCCTGGAACACGCTCCTGGGGTCTGGAAGTCCATTTCCTTGCCTAGCGTCCTTGCCAGGCGTCCAAGCCCCATTTGTCTACCCCTGCCTCAGAGCCCACATCTGGGTCACCTTCTTGGGGCGGAGTCCCAAACAGGTCACCCTCCTGCCTCAAACCCTCCAATCTGTCCTGAGTCTCCAACTGGGGCATCTCCCAGCTTGCGAGCCCTCAACCTGCCTGCCACCCTGCGGCAGAGCCTCCTATCCAATGCGCTGACCACGCCTCTCCCGTCCCAGACCGTGCTCGCGTCTGGGCAGCGGCGCCCCGTCCCCCGGCTCCGGAGCCACCATCTTCGCACTTAGCTCGGGCCAAGGCCGCTGCGGCGTCGCGGTGATCCGGACCAGCGGCCCGGCTAGCGGCTTCGCCCTCCAGAGCCTCACGGCGGCCAGGAAACTGCCCCCGGCCCGTAGCGCCCGCCTGCGGCTGCTCAGCGACCCGCGCTCCAGAGAGCCGCTTGACCGCGCCCTGGTATTGTGGTTCCCAGGTGAGGAGCTCAGGTTTCCAAAGTCTCTGTAGCTCACTATTGCTCCTGGTCACCTCTCCAGACGTGGCCCACCTTCTCCCATATAGGTCCCCAGAGTTTCACGGGTGAAGACTGTGCGGAGTTCCATGTGCACGGAGGCCCTGCGGTGGTTAGCGGAGTCCTGCAGGCCCTAGGTGAGTGAGTGGGAGGCAACGTGTTGGAGGCCTAGCTTGGCGGTGGGCCTGGGTGGGGCATGTTGCCCTGACTCCTGATCAAGGAGCTCAGGACCAGAGCCTTCCCACAGGACACGTGCCAGGGCTGCGTCCAGCAGAGGCAGGCGAGTTCACCAGGCGGGCGTTCACCCATGGGAAGCTGAGTCTGACTGAGGTGGAGGGGCTGGCAGATCTGATCCATGCAGAGACTGAGGCACAGCGGCGGCAGGCCCTGCGGCAGCTGGATGGGGAACTGGGACGCCTGTGCCAGGACTGGGCCAAAACGCTCACCATGGCGAGTACAGGGGACAGAGTTTCCCTTCTACGCAGTCCCTGTGTGATAGCTTTCACCTGTGCATCACCTGCATGAGAACCCGCACCTGTCCCTCCCCTGTCCGAGCACCCCCAGCCTGCAGCCTCCAATCCTGCAGGTTATGTCAGTGCCCTGGGAAGAGGAAGGAAGCCTGGGTGCTCACATTCCCCCTCCCACAGGCACTGGCCCATGTGGAGGCCTATATCGACTTTGGTGAGGATGACAATGTGGAGGAAGACGTCCTGAAGCGAGGTGGGATTGGCCAGAGTGTGGGGGCTGGGGACGCCCCAGCATCCCAGCCCTCGGAGCACCCCCCTTACTCCCGCTCCTCTGCCCCACCCCAGCGGACAGTGCCGTGCGGGGACTGGAGGTGGCACTGGGCACACATCTACGAGATGCACGACGTGGACAGCGGCTCCGCTCAGGGGCGCATGTCGTGGTTGCTGGCCCTCCCAATGCTGGCAAGAGCAGCCTGGTGAACTTGCTCAGTGAGTGCCAGGCAGGGTGGAGGCGGGGCCTAGGGCTGGGGGTGAGGTGACCAAAGCTCTGTACAGTGAGGAGGGCTCCATCCTGTCCACTCTCCCTTCCTCTGACACCCACCCAGGCCGGAAGCCTGTGTCCATCGTGTCCCCAGAGCCAGGCACCACCCGTGACGTTCTGGAGACCCCTGTGGATCTGGCTGGGTTCCCAGCACTGCTGAGCGACACGGCAGGGCTGCGTGAGGGCGTGGGGCCTGTGGAACAGGAGGGTGTGCGGCGTGCCCGTGCAAGGTAAGTAGGGCTGGATGGTGGGCTGGCTGGGCCCTTCTGCTTTTTCTCCCTATTATATTACATTTCTTTTCATTCTTCCTGAGTGAGAAAAGACTGCTAAACTTAACCCTTGGTGATCCGGAGAAGGTAGCATTAATTAATTAATAAATTAATTAATTATTGTGATTTGAGTGACAACTTACAGAGCAAATTCACTTTCCATACAGCAGTTCACATATGCTTTGTCTCATGACATTGACCACAGTTTACCACAATGCAACAGCTCCCCTCCCACTTCCTCCCCATAGTTACCTCCTCCCAGTGTCCATCCCTCCATGCACTCCTGCCCCCTGAGCTGTCTCCCTGTGCATACACAGCTCTTTCTCCCGTGATTGTTCTCTCCAAGGGGTGTATCTATCTCAGGTAAACGTTCAACTCATATGCCTGTCTTTTTTTTGGCTGGAAGCCACAGATGTGGGTTCAATTCCAGACCTGAAGGGCAGCTAGGGACCATAGTCTCAGTGGTTCCACCAGGCCCTATCAGACCAGCAAACCTGGTCCCCACCCCCCCTTTTTTTTTTTCTCCAAATGATTTTGAGTTTTGTCCACATTGTTCTCCCTCTCTATCCAGGATCTCCTACGTAGATCCCTGAAGGCAGCTTTTTAAGTTCCGCCTCTGCTTTTGTCTACCTCTCTCTGTTATGCTCTGCCCCACCCAGGGCCCTTAAGGGCTCAGCTCTGGCAGCGGGCTAAGTTGGTTCTCCCTGCTTCCCTAGGCTGGAGCAGGCTGACCTCATCCTGGCTGTGTTGGATGCCTCTGACCTGGCTTCCCCCTCCAGCTGCAACTTTCTGGACACTGTTGTGGCTCACCTAGGAGCCCAGAGCACCAATGGGAGCAACCAGCGCCTCCTGCTGGTGCTGAACAAGTTGGACCTACTGCCCTCTGAGAGCCCAGGCCTTAGTCGCAATATGCCTCCCCACCTGCTGCTGTCCTGCCTGACTGGGGAGGGGCTGGACAGCCTCTTGGAAGCACTGAGGAAGGAGCTGGCTGCAGTGTGAGCCCCCTTACCTAACCCCAGATGAGAGTTCAAGGGGAGGCTGAGCTGCTGGGCGCATGCCTGCCTTGTATTCAGTTTCTGTATCTGCAGAATGGGTACAACCATCCCCAACCATCCCCACCCTTCAGTCTGGAAGAGTGGCTTTGAATGTTAGAGTGAACACATCATCTGTCTCTTCCAGGTGTGGGGACCCATCCACAGGCCCGCCGCTCCTGACACGTGCAAGGCACCAACATCACCTGCAGGGCTGCCTGGATGCCCTAGGTCACTACAAGGAGGCGAGAGACCTGGCCTTGGCAGCTGAGGCACTGCGCATCGCCCGTGGGCACCTGGCCCGCCTCACAGGGGGAGGGGGCACTGAAGAGATCCTGGACATTATCTTCCAGGACTTCTGTGTGGGCAAGTGAGGGGCTCGAACCCTGTGGGGCCTCCAGGGGCGGCCAAGGCTCAGACCCAGGCTGAGTGGATGCCCAGAAGCCTGGAGGGATCTGGGAACAGCTTAAGCCAAGTGGACTTCTTGTTCATCTGAGGAAGAGCTTGATCCCAAAATGAGGAGGTGAACAGTTGTCTTCACAGATAGTGAGTTCCTTGTTGCTGATGGTAACTAAGGTGTACCCAGCCAGATACCCCCCAGGGACTAGCTGGGGGTTCAGGCTCTGGAGTGTGATTGAATGGAGGTCTCTTTTCAGTACCAGATGCTGGGGTAGTAGGAGCAGCTGAGAGATTGTGGAGAGATTGTATGTGGGGGGAATGTGAGGGTTTTGTTTCGTAGTTTTGCATTTATTTTACAGATCCCAAAAGAATGTAAATGTGAAAGGATGGGAATAGCATCAGAACCTGCCTGACTTGATGGGCGATAATGACCAGAATCACTCAGAGCTGATCTCTGTGAGGTAGAGATCAAATATAACCTCCACACTTCAACTGGTTTTTGTTTTTACCACTTTTGAAACCAGCTGTCTTTCCCATGGCACTCTATACTTCTGGGTTTGATAATCCATTTGCAGTGACCACACAGAACTCACAGATTGTACTTGCAGTTAAATGGTTTATTAAGGAAGCAACAGGAGGAAGTAGGCAAAATCTAGGATGCTGTCCTGGAGAGAAGAGCACATCCCGCCTTTCAGTGCAGGACAGCTTCCTCAGGTCCTCTGGGCCATGCAAGCAAGCCAGCTTTGCTGTCATATATGCCCTCTCAACCATGCAGGCCTCCTCTTGGCTCCTAGAGAACAGGCTTCTCTGCCTTCAACCTTCCTGTCATCATCTTCTCCACTGCCATTGGCCCAGCTCATAGGCAGTACGGGAATTTTGTTCAGCTCTCTTAGTTGCATTCCGAACTGTTACCACTGACTGCTGTAGGGTCCCTTTCCAGGCTTCTTGCTATCTTCAGTGTTACAGCTCTTTAAGGAGGTTCCCTGCCTCTGCTGCTGTTTCTTTTTTCTTCCTTCTTATTTTCTTGCCCACCTCTATGGGGTTGGCTGCCTATATAAGCTAACCTCTCTCTCATCAATTTCAAGGCATAGCCCTCCCACCAGGGCCATGAACTGGCCAATCCCCTTTCAGTAGGCCACAGACACTTCATTTGCATAGTAGGCTGTAATTACTTCATTTGCATAGTGTATTGGCCAATCCCTGTAACGTACATATAATCACAGAGCAGGCAGCAGCCCAGGGCTGGACAAAAAGTATCAAAGCATTGTAGTTCACAGATTACCCATCAAATGTCAGTCAACCAGGAGAAAAGTAACTAACTCTAGGGTGGAAAACTCAGGGCTTAAGGGGAAAATGTGACAAAACTGTTTTTCCAAAGAACCAAAGCAAAAGTCCACGTACCGGAACTCATTGCACTACAGTATAAAACTCAGGCAATGCAGACATGTTTAAACATGGAAAACTCCTTCATCTTCTCTCTAGGAATCATGGCTTGATGTGTCATTCTAGAACTTTCTGCACATTTGCACATTTGTGGATGCACTCATCAAATTTTTTTTTCCTTGTGTTTTGTACATAAATTGCATTATTGCTGTACAAGTAATCATTCCTTTTTAAACTTTAAAAATATTTTTTTTAAAGTTTGTGGTTAAATGTATTTTTTTTAAATTTGCCATTCTAAGTGCACACTTAGGTGACATTAATGATGTGTTGTGCAGTCACCACCACTACCACCAGAAATTTTCCATCACCCCAAACAGAAACTCAGTGCTCCTTGAGCAATTCTGGTTCTCCCTTCTTGCAGCCCCTGGTAGCCACTAATAAACTTGGCTCTCTCTGCAGTTGCCTTTTCTAGATCATTTCCTAAAAGTGGGATCTTGCAACATTTGCCTTTTTGTGACTGACATTTAGCTCGGCCTGAGGTTATCCGAGTTCATCCACATCCTAGCCGGCATCGGTGCTACTTTGCTCCTGATAGCTGAGTAGTATAATGGTGTATGGATGGACCACACAGTGTTTTACCCTTTCATTTGTTGATGGACACCTGTGTCATCTTTTGGCTGTTGTGAAACGTGCTGGCATTAATATTGGTATACAAGTTTCCGCTGGCGTTCCTGCCTGTTTTTCAGGGTAGATACCTAGGACTGGAATTGCCACGTCACATGGTAGTTCTCTGTTTAACCTTTGGAGGAACTACCAAACTGTTTCCCACAGTGGCTGCACCATTTTACATTCCCACTAGCAGTGCACGAGGATTCCAATTTCTCCATACCCTCACCAATCCGAACTTACCTTTTTCTGTGTCATTTCTTTCTTAGTGTTATTTAAGCCTTTGCTCACATAATTTACAAATTTGTGCTGATAGGATGTCTTTGCTATTTTAATCCTTCTAATGAATTGGTGGGAGCTCTGGTGGCGTAGTGCCTAAGGCATTTGACTGCTAACCAGAAGGCTGGTGGTTCAAAACCACCAGCCACTCCTTGGAAGGACGGTTGGGCAATCTACTTCCATAGTGATACTGCCTTGGAAACCCAAGGAGGGGTTGCTATGAGCCGGATCCGACTCGACGGCAGTGAGTTTGGTTTGGTTTGGAATGAGTTGGTAAGGAGATTTGGTGGCATAGTGGTTAAGGCATTCAGCTGGTAACCAGAAGGTTGGCAGTTCAAACCCACCAGCTGCTTCTTGGAAGAAAGATGAGGCAGTATGCTTCCATAAAATTACAGCCTTGGAAACCCAGTGGGAGTCACTATGAGTCAGAATCAACTAAATTGCAGTGAGTTTGGTTTTGGTTTTGGTAATGAGTTGGTACAAGCACGGTTGCCATTCACGCATCTATGGTAGTTCAAAACTTCTGTGCATTTTTAAATTACAGGTTAGTCTTAGATAGGAAAGAATTTAAAAGCAAAGTTCAGCTTGCTACTATATCTCATCATGCTGATTTTTAAAAGTATCTGGCCTTATAGATAATCCGTAAAATGGGAGACATGTTCAATATTTTTTTACTGGTTATTGTTCTGGTTACCTAGTGCCGCTCTGAGAAGAATATACCACAAATGGGAGTTTATTCTTACAATTTGGAGGCTTGAAGTCCAAGTTCAAAGTGCCAGGCTCTAGGAGTTGGGGTGGAAGCCCCTCAACCTTGGGGTCCAGCTCTGCCTCCTGCTTCCAGCCCACTGGAGCTAGAGGCATTTCTTCACTCAGACAGCTGCTGGCTGCTGAGGCTGAGAAGCCCCAAGGTTGACAGGTAAAAAGGCCCAGTCCCGATGTTACCAAACCACACGGCAGGCCATTACCTTAAGTCCATTGTAAGTCCCAAGGTCGGCAGAGCATAGCAGGCTGCTGAGCAATGACACAGCTACATGCAGGGTCCAACCGTGCCGTAGGCTAGAGACCATTCCCAAAGCTGCTATTTATATATGAGAAGCAGACCACATACCCAAAGCAGCTACTCAGCTGCTCACAGTAGTAGGTTCCACCATGGAGTTGATTACCAGTCTCATCATGGGGAATACTACATCCAGTTGCCCAGCCACTCAACCAGGCCCAGCCAAGTAGACACACACTCTGAACTACCACAGGTATTATACACAAACCACACTGAAATGCTTTTTGTAAATTATAAGGCAACATTTTAGATACAGGGAATTTTAATTCAGTTGACATAGTTAAGAGCAAAAAGATAAAGTAGCCCTTGCTATCTTACACCTTGCTTTTTTTTTTTTTTTTTCCTATTTCCTTGCATTTCAACAGGCTGGTGTTTGGTGTTACTTTTGAAACATTGCCTCTTGTCTTCAAAGCCACGTGCAAACTCCAGGTGCCCACTCCCTATCCGTGCTTACTTTTCATTCATTCATTCACTCGGTCACTCAGTGAATTTTTGCCAAGTACCTTGTGTATGCCAGGATTGTACACATCACTTTATTGAATCCACAGTGGTCCAATGAAATGGGCATTTTGTTCCCATTTTACAGATGAGGAGACTGAGGCTCAGAGAAGTAAAGTTGTCCACTGGAGGGCCTCAGGTTTGGTGTTGGACTACAAGTCTGTTTACTTTCAAACGAGTTCACTGAAGACTTCCAGTGTGGCAGGCAGTGCTCAGGGCGCTGGAGACCAGAGGGAGCCTGGCTCTTGTTACACAGCAGACAGAGAGGCTGCTTTGTGAGCTCAAGAAGAAACAATCTGGCAGGGGACTTCAGGACAGGCTGCCCTCCAGAAGGGGCACTTGTGCTGAGATCTGATGGTACCTAGAAGCAAATATGGAGGAAGCTGGGGAAAGCCTCCAGGCTGGAGGAATTATTGCCAGACTCAGACACTTCTAGCCCTGAAGGGAAGCAAGGGCTAACTAAATCTGAGTGGCTGCCTGGAGGAGGGGTCTCTCTGAGTTGCACTTTGCAAGAAGAGGGCTTTTCCAGGCAAGAAAAGGGCATTTTAGTTGGAGAAAACCCACTGCCATCAAGTTGATTCCTCTTAGGGAAGCAAGCTGCCTCATCTTTCTCCTGCAGAGCGGCTGGTGGGTTTGAACCACTGATTTTTTTGTTTAGCAGCCTAATGCCTTAACCACAGCACAACCAGAGCTCCTTTTGAGTTAGAGAGCACAGCATAAAGGCTTGGTTACTCTGGAGGCAGCGGATGGACTGTGCAGAGTCACAGCACTGCAAAGTCCCCGAGGTGGGGCCGGGCCTGGTGCGTTCAAGAAAGAGCTAGGCAGCTGTGTGGTTGGAGCAGAGTAAGGCCAAGTAGGAAGGAGATGGGTTGCTGATAACCTGGCGTCTATCTGATTCTGAGAATTCTGAGGGGCATGATGTGGCGGCGACCAACCAGCAGAGGACGCCTTGCCCTCACAAAGGCGGCGCCTGGCAGGCTCTGAAGCCTCCATCCAGCGCATGCGCTCTCCCCGCCTGCTTGCTGCGGTGTTAATGGTGGGTTAATTCCCTCCACCGCGAGAGAAACCGGGTCTCCTCCGGGTCAAGCTTTA